GCCTTTCCTTTTCATATCACATATTTTGCAATAATTTTTGCAATGCAACAATTATTGTGCGATACTTAGGGACTAACTTTAAAAAGTAAGAAAGTAATCCTATTTTTTGCTAGTTACGTACGTTTACTCATTGTATGTTGTTAATTCTATGTTTTCTGCCAATGTAAAACTATTTTAGTATTATTGTACGAAACTTAGGGATAAACTATACAAAATTAAGGATCATTTTCCTATTCAGCTTAACCAAATATGTATAAGTGATAATAGTATTGTCATGTTTAGTGACCAGACCAGACCAGACAGTGTATTTACTTTTAATACCTGTCTGCCTTTACGAGTCGTGATGTTCCTCCTTTTACACGCTTTACATTAGTTTCATTTGTATGTTTGTATGTTTGTTCGTAACCGACTCCTTTGGGCGTGATTTTGACTTTCACTTTTAACGGTCAGAATTCGTTCAAACTTTGTAGATATATCGAGAACCGATGACAATACACTAATTTAAAAAAGAAAATATTTAAAAAACTAAAAAACACGCTTTTTATAGAAAACCAAACTAAAAAATACAAAATAAATTTTAATAAATTTGAAAAAAAGCGTGTGGTGCTTTTTACTATTGACAACAGGCACCCAACGCTTTTTTTTAACTATTATTTTTTTACAGTGATAAGTGCAGTGTTGAGGAAATGTAAGCACAGCCCAGAAAAAAAAAACATCTTATTCGCCTACTCCATATTCCAACTAATTATGATAATGAGTCATTAGTATACAAGTTCATTAGTAATGACCTTGCATTTAGATTAAGAGGTCAAAGTATAACAATTTTTTTTAAAGAATTAGGTTATATTCTGTGATATATTCTACCAAAAACCTAATATCACTCTGTTCACAAAGATAGGATTGCTTTCTAATATTGTATAGTAAATTCCTAAGTATCATACAATAATACCAGATTACTTTTACGTTGGCAGAAAAGTTGTAATTTTTATTATTAAAAATCAGACACGATAAATTTACCGATTCGACGAAAAACCTGATGTGATGAGTGCAGTGGGTTCGATCTAGCCATTGGACAACATTTTGTGTGATCCACAAATTTTTGTTCTGAGTCTGGTTGTGCTTTGTGTCCGTTTCATTAATGTATGTAAAGTTCCCGCGACCCAGTATATAATCCTGGTGCGGAAGTTGTATTTTTTTAAAGAAAAAAGAATTTGCTACAAACTACTATAAACAACTAACTTGCTAATATATTAGTCGCCAGGGTGATTGACATGGTATACTAATTAAATGCATAAAATTGATAGCATGAACTAACTCGGAAGGATAATTGTTGAAATTAAAATATTAAGTTTAGTATTACATGCCATATATAACATTATAAACATATAAATTGTATTCGGTTAACTTTTATTTAAAAAAATAATGACAAAATAATATTATTTGCTATGATTATATTTACCTTATTTGTTACTGAATATGCTTGCCTTACCTGATCGACTTTTAAACGTTATTTTGCGTAATAAATAGATAGAAATTCTGAAAGGTATATGGTGTTTATGTGTAAATAGGTTCCAGAGTTCTCTGGTAATAGCAATAGGGTTGGCAACGCACAAGTGACACAAGTTGGTTTTTAGGAAGGTACCGGTAACTTTTGACAATCAGCCGGTTGCTATACCGACGCAACTACGTTAGGTACACAACAGGTACAGAACCTGATTTCGGGAATACTTGGATTTTTTTTAAGTTAAAACGTTAAACGATGATCTTGCCTTGCCTCTACATTTTGTTCGGAAACAGAGCATGGCGTCATTACCGTTTTGATGTTTTATTAAAAACTATTGTTAAGTGTTTTGACATACATGGTTATGATTATGACGCAATGTTGTAAAACATTAAACTGAATATGATTATTATCGCTTCGCTGCGCCCCGTAGTATCAGATCTTAAATAACAAGTTACTTAAACGATCTTTCAGTACTGCTATAAACAGATTGACTTAAGATATCTTACGGTCACTTCCTTTCTTAAAAGCTATAAGCTAATAATTAATAATTTTATTTCTTTAAATGAAGCCGAAAGGAGGCCGCCGAAACTATGAAAAGAACTGACATTAATATTGTACTTTGAAAGTGACATCAGACACTGTTATTGACTGACATCTGCCAATGGGTGTCTGGCTTGTCAATTGACTTTTCTGTCAGTTTAGAAGATACAAACCTTTTTTTTTCTGTGCGGAACTACTCTCGGATACCACACACCAGTGGGTGATTATGTCGGACTCGAACTGACCAAAAACTGCACGCCGTCTCCAGGTTCCAGTAGCCGGGGAACCAGGTATGCCCTAGAAAGGAAAGGAAAGAGAGATTTCTGAACCTCTCCCGGTCCCGTTCCGCCATCTCCTTCGCAAGCATAACCTGCTCGCAGAAGGAGACGGCGGAGTTCCACGCACTCTCGCTCCGTACCACGGCGGCAATCATATCATCAACCTCGTCACCACCTAACTGTTACAAACTGATTATTCTCTCAGCAATGTAGAGATTAAGTTACCAATATCTCCCGGCGGAAATATTAGTTTTAGAAACATTATGAGTTCATACTTAACCAATTATTTATTTATTTATTTATTTATTTGAAGGAAAACCAACAGCTTTAACATTGAGATAGTGACAATAATATAAAACATTTAGCCAATTAAAGGTCTTCACAGATAAGCACTATTTTACATAATTTCGTGCGGCCAATGTATGTATCATATTAATTACACATATGCTATCACTCAATTACAAGAAAGGGAGAAAGAAATCTTGGCTTAGCACCCGACGTACTGTAGTTGTTTTAGTGTTGAAAATATCAATGTCATGTGACTCGCAGATGTTATTTAAGGTCTTGCTAGCTCGCCAAAGAATTTATTTTCTTTATATTTATGTATTATATCACTGGTGACGAATGTCTTGTAACGATCACTATGATGTTAGGTAAACATCCAATTGTTTCAGTCTACGGTCTTTTGTTAGTTAAATATTTGTTCTTATGCCACGAGGGCGACTGTTATATCATTCTTTGAGTCTACATCTAAGGAAACCGTCAATATATCCTGGCATCCCTCTAAACTGTCCTGATCAGATTATGAATATAGTCAATCAATACATTAAATAATATAGCTAACATTTTTGATTCAAATAAAAGCGGTTATAGATTTTGATTAGATAGAAATTATAGATTTCGTAAGAATTTAAATTGGTTACTCAATCTAAACGCATATTAATTATTTGGCATGGAAAATCTCATATTTACTTTAATGGCGAATCGATGTGTATAATGTGGTCATGATATGATTGCGTTAAAAAGCCTGATTAATATATATTATCAGTAAATATATATCAGTTAATCGGCTCATACTAGATAAACAGCATATCATAGGCAAAAAGGCGTCTATAAATTTATCACGTACTTTTACGGTGGATCGCAGGAGGAAAACTCCTGAGACTGTTATCAAGCCTCGAAAAAGTTAAATATCTATTTTAACTACATTTGACGTTCACACGTTAATCCGCTACTGGTTTAATACTGCTTATTTGTAGAATAATAAGAAGAAAAATATGACTATTTAATGAGAAGTCATTTTATTCTGCTTTTTGTAAAAAATGTTAGAAAAACTAACAAAGAGAACATTAACACTAATGTTTAAATGACATATTAAACTCGCAAGCAACGATATAGACGGTTAGAAAGAAGAAGATTAAAAGTCTATCTGTCTATCTAGTCTGAAGGTTGCCTACTATGACTCAGTGAACAGGTGACGGGATGCTCTTAAGTAAGAAAGGCCGTTCCAGTCACCAGTGGTAATTGATTACTGGAACTGGGTATGTAGGGTAATTTTTAAAGGCGTTAGGATACCTTACCCTTAATGACCTTCGAGAGCTCCGTTCCGGATCGGTACGGTCATAAATTCAAAAGAACTTACCTATCGTTTTATGTTTAGACAATACTATTTACACGCATACTACGGCATACTTTAGACGATAAGCATGTTAATAAAATGTATGTAATTTTACGGTCGACAGTGTACAACTCTACAAGAATTTCGTATTAATTTCACTCTCCGTAAAATCAGTGTTATTGTGTGTTATGTGTGTGTACTTAATTAATATGCGAAAGAAATCGAAAGCATGTTATGCTACTTAGATGTTATTTTATGATCGTAAATTTAAAATAAAGTGACTTCCGAACAGCTAATATTTTTGTTTTTGAAATCTATAATATGATTTATTAGTTGTACATATTTATTAACGATAGTTGAAAATTAAAACTAACAAATTGAATCTCTCAAAATTAAGACATGTAACTTCAAAAGATTTGTTTCGATAATTTCATTATTAGTCTTGACAGATTCTCAATAAGGTAAAAAAGTGACAATTACCCAACTGTCCTCCAGAATATTTAGGTTCAACATCATCAACCGCCTTTAATATTCCACTGCTGAACTGCTCCTTAGAAACTAGGTTTTAAAATAAAAACATACACTGCTAATCCGTAACTACGAGTACAGCGAGGAGTATAGGAAGGAAATTTACAATATAAAACATCATATGGATTTTATATGGATATTTATCCAAAGTCAGAATTGATATTTATTTCTATATATTATGTAGTCTATTTATATTACACATAAGTATTATGTACCTATCCATTATTATGTTAAATGTATATATTTCCTCCTAGAATTAAGTGAATGTACCATCTGATTGTATGAGAGAGATAATTTATATAAATCCTCTATCAAAGTGCTTGGTCGTAGAAGCCCGATGGTAGAAGACGCTTCTCGTTCTGCAGAACCTGTGTCCGAGATAGTTATCGTAGTGATGGCCATAATATGCACCAATAAACATCGTTTACATAACCAATATACAAACATATTTATAGGTATCATAGACTTTTAGGATTATCACCACGTGATTTTAAAGCAATGTAAAATTAAACAAGATTCTTAATTGTTACAGTTGGACACAAATGGAAGCGGCTACCTCGATCTTAAGGAACTTAAAGATGCACTGGACAGCGTCGGATACAAAATACCACAATGGAAGGTAAACAACGGCTCGTAAATTTGTTTTTAAATGTTATAATACAGCTGAGAATTAACGATTAACATCTTAAAGATCTACTGAAAACACCTGTTAATGATGTGTCTAAAAATGGCACTCATATACAGCAAAACGGGGCTCGTTTAAGTGAGAATCCAACGGGAAAACGTAAGAATGTTAAGGTTGTTCTTAATAAGTACTGATGTACATATTTTAAGAGTACCGTTTTAAACGGATCCTTTCTCGTAATGAACGTCCCGAATTCCGAGTCTCGCTTCAAATAACTTTATTCAAGTCTACAAATCCATCGCTTTCAACCGTTTTCCTCCCTGTTAAAATGAATAAACACTAGAAAAGTAGCATTAATAGCATATTTCAAACCAAAACCTTTCTGGCCGGAAACGTAATGGTCTTTACTGGCTTAATCCGTTTTATTCACTTCACTAATGCTAGCTTAACCCAGTAAAGCGCATTAAACACATTTGACAAGATTAGGGACTTTTTTAAGAAGCCTATACATAGGAAAGTCTTTAGTGTAATAAACATTATTCTGGTTTCCAGGTGCGATGCATGATCGAGGAATACTACGACAATGGAAACAGTAAACGCGGCGTCAACGGCAGTCTGAATGGAGACGCGCGCAAGAACGCCATCAGCCTCACAGAGTTTGAGGAGCTGTGTGCTAATCTTAAAGCTCAGCAGGTAATTAAATTAAAAATGATAGTAATTTGGAAAACATACGATTACCTACTTCAGATATTATCCTTTGGTGTTAAAGGTTTCTCGAAATTTGTAAAAGCTGTATTGACAATGAGATTTTTTTTTGTTTGGCTAAGTGTTCCATAGTCTATTCGCGTTAAAAAAATAGTGATCAAACCATACACCCTGACCAATCAGGTACCAAGCTTTCGTACGAAACGATGATTTTTCGGAAGCTGATTGGTCCAGGGGCGGGTGTTGATCGAGGCGTCACTATTTCTTAATGCAAACGAACTATAGGCACACCTGTGAAAGGCGTAAACTAGATAATTATTATCTGTGTTAATATGTTTAAGCATAAATTTCCTGCGAAACAATGTGGATGAAGAACTGAGGATATAAAGTGCCTGCTAATGTTCTAATATCAGTAAATTACATCTATATTAATGATCATTATATTAATGATCATCAAGTACACAGCCACTAAGAGATCTCTTAGTGGCTGTGTACTTTAATCTATTACAAAAGTTAAGTGCCAAGAAGCTTTTTTTTATTTATCTCGGGAATTCGCCAAACAAAATGCTTTCAAATTCTGCTGGACTGTAAATGGCAATGTCTTCTTGCGTAAAGAAGAAGGCAATAAGCAAATCCTTATTTCATCAGAGCAATGCCTTCACGACCTGCGTAACAAATTGTGACGTGCGAAGCATATCCTATATCGGTTGAAAATGTTTATAGTAATATTTTTCTGCCTCATTGTAGTGATTTTTAAACTTAATCAAGGTAACTTAACTTATCTATGTTATTATAAACTATGTACAAACTTTCACACAAATGGAATACATAACGCAACAAGAAAATACACACGGACACATACATCAATTCAACACACTTTTAACACATGTTTAACACACACAAATACATTGTTTACAGAAATATTGCCCTACCTTATTGTAGTGTTTTTTACACTCAATCAAGCTCACTTAACCTACAAACATTATCTTAAGCAATGTACTCGTATAAACTTTCTCTCAAATAGAATACATAACATAACACGAAAAGATACACGATCTGATATACAAATTCAACACATGCTTAACACACTACCTATTTATCTACACTGTCTCATTTTTTACACATTATCATTCCGCCTCATCAACTATTCTCTCAATCAGTCATCACCTCCCTACTCATTCAAAAATGTACAGTCTAAGAATTTTAACTCGAACAGAGCTACTCAGCCGGTCCACGTATTGTGTTCTACCAAACCGCAAATATTTACAACTATAAATGGCTTCAATTGAAATAAACTCTGAAATAGATTATTTGTGTGCAACAAACTCTTATGTATGCTATCCTACAGACTGTCCTAAGTACATAAATAACCCAATTCAATCTATTAAATTATTACAAATGAACATACGAAGCTCTAATAAAAACTTTGATCATTTCTGCGCATTACTCACTACAACAAACATTGACTACGACGTAATCGTTTTAACGGAATGCTGGCTTTCGAAAGTAAATAACCTCCCTTCCCTAGAGGGATACATGTCTTACTCCACTAAAAATTATTTCAACCAAAATGATGGCGTAATCGTCTACACTAACACAAAATTAAAGTGCACTGTTCGCGAACCAGTGTTTGATGATGGAAGTTGTTTAGTGTGTCACATAGGTGATGAAGTCGATATTGTAGCTATATATCGCTCACCCTCTTTTAGCACTAGAGATAACTTCGATACCTTTATAAACAGCTTAAATAATGTCTTTACCAACTTATCCTCTGTAAATGCAGTTCTTATGGGGGATATAAATATTGATATATCTGCAAATAGTAAAAACCATTTCTGTGATGAATACTTGACATTTAATGCATCACATGGATTTTTTCCAACACACAGACTGAAAACAAGAATCAATACTTGTATAGATCACATATTTCTAAAGTCTACACTTCCCTCAACAACACTGGTACTGGAATCATATATAACGGATCATCGTCCAACGGTATGTTTTATAGAAAAAATTAAACCCGCAAGCAAAAAATGTCATATTTAGACTTTTATAGATTATTCTAATATTAAAACGGACTTAGAGAGCACTGATTTTTCGTGTATATTAAACACAAAGAATGCCAATTCAGCAGCAGACCACCTGGTTACCACTATTTCATCCATAATTTATAAAAATACGAAACAAATACCAGTACAAAAAAAGAATAGATTACTTAAACCCTGGATAACAATGGGACTACTCCGTTGTATTAGAAATCGTGATAGATTACACCTAAAATGTAAGAAATCACCAACAAACATGACTCTAAAAATTACTTATACACGATATCGTAATTTCTGCAATAGTCTCCTACGAAAACTAAAAGTCGAATATGAAAAAAATCTATTGGATAAGGCTGGCAAAAACCCAAAAGCCTTGTGGGAGGCCGTGAAGGAAATTACCAATACACGTAAAATAAAAATCAGTCCCACGGAGCTTTTAAGTGTAACTAATGATCCCCAAATGTCAGTCAACCAGGTCTGCAACCACCTTAGTAACATAGGCACACTTCTAGCGGGCAAGATACTTTCTTCCCCTAACAACAACCCCCTTGCCCAAACAACTAGTGTTATCACTTCCGGTATTAATAGCCCGTTAAACTCAGCAGTCATACTGGATGTTTCCGAATTGGACATAACAAATATCATTCAAGATCTTCGTCCCAATTGCGCGGTAGGGTGGGATGGTATATCTAACGAGGTTCTAAAACAATGCCGCTCCGTTTTGGTTCCTCCAATCACCCACATATGCAATTGCGCTATAAGGACAGGTGTTTTCCCGGAAGCGTTCAAACTATCAATCGTTCATCCGATTCATAAGGGTGGAGACAGAGATTGTGTCAACAATTATCGGCCAATAGCAATACTACCTGCTTTATCTAAGATCTTAGAAAAGGTTCTTAATAGGGCCCTCATAAATTTTATAACTGAATACAATATACTAGCTAAAAATCAGTACGGCTTTCGCACTGGTATCTCATGTGAAGATGCCGTACTGGATCTTACTAATGAAATAGTAAAAAAATTAGATTGCGGCAATAAATGTCTTTGCATATTTTTAGATCTCTCTAAAGCCTTTGACACGGTCTCTGTCCCTATCCTTCTAGCGAAATTAGAAAAGCTAGGTATACGTGGTATGGCCCATGAAATTTTCAAAGATTATCTGTCCAATAGAAGACAAAAGGTAAAAGTAGATCGATACGTTAGTGAAGAAAATAGTGTCTCATACGGTGTCCCACAAGGGAGTATTCTAGGCCCCACACTTTTTCAGCTTTACATAAACGACCTTTGCACATTGTCAATCCCAAATGCAAACATTTTCACCTATGCTGATGACACGGCAGTCCTTATTTGGGGGCCTGACTGGGGTGCCACGCGAGAGATAGCTGAAAATTCCCTAGCCCTGATCATGAATTGGCTCACTGGTAATCTCCTTACACTAAACTTAACTAAAACGCTGTATGTTCCATTTACAATGAGAAAAACAAACGCTCCTCCTTGCAACTTCAATATAAAAGCACACACATGCCTTTCTAAAGTCAATTGTACATGCCAACAACTTACAAGAGCAGAAAGTGCAAAATATCTTGGTGTTCACATAGACTCTCGTCTGAAATGGGACACTCATATTACTATGGTGACAACGCGATTGCGACGTCTCATACATATTTTTAAAACCCTGAGAGATGCCGCTACAATAGACAAGATAAAACTAGTCTACAAGGCTTTATGCGAATCCATGGTTCTTTACTGTATCACAGTTTGGGGAGGAGCCGCTAAAACCCATTTACTCAGTCTGGAGAGGGCACAAAGAGCAGTTCTAAAGGTCATGACCAAAAAACCCTACAGGTACCCAACACATTTACTGTACTTAAACTGCAACGTCCTAACAGTGCGACAGCTCTTTGTGCTAAAATCCATTCTGAGAAAGCACAGAAATGTACCCCCTCCAAACCCAAAGCGACGAAGATTTATGTCGGTATGTCCTAGGGTCTATTTCAAAACCGCCTTTGCCAGTCGTCAATCTGTTAGTATTACATGTAAACTTTATAACCACATAAACAGAGAAGTAGATATTGTAGGTCTCAGAAGACACGAACTTAAAAATAAAATTACAAACTGGCTTCAGAAGCTAAATTATCAAGAAACAGAAAATTTACTGCAAACAATTAAATAATTTATTTCATTCTACTCTCTTGTGATAAACTGAGTATCTTCACGTTTTTCACACTCGACTCGCACACACGATAACACACACAAACACACACACACACACACACACACACATACACACTCACACACACATCTTCACGTCCTTACGCTACACAGTTTTTATTATACCTATTTTATTTTTATTGTTATGTATCTGTATTGCAAGTGCCCTATATTTCACTTTAGCGTAATCTTACATGTAAATTTTCCTGCGGCTGGATATTGTCATCCAAAATACAGGCCTCGCCTAGTTTGGTAGACAGCATTTAGTACCGTCAGTGACATAGATTTTGTACTATTGTGATATTGTACCTCAACAGTGAGTGTAATTTTAAATGCAATAAAGATTATTATTATATTATTATATTATTATAGTTAAGAGCCATCAATTTTTACTTAATTAAGTCGTCTACAGCGTACAGGAATCATGAACATAATTACATAAATTAACGCTCTTGACTATTTTGTTATGCTTTTATGGATGGTTTTATAATGATTTCTAGAATTTGTTGGTTTTCACCGCAAAGTATGATTTTGCTAAGATCGTCAGATACCACAATATATTTACATTATAGGTATAACAATGTACTTAGACTATATTTTTGACCATGAGGCAAATTAAGTTGGGAAACCTCGACAGTACCTAATAGTAAACATCATACGCCGCATCCTTTTTTTAGAAATGATATATATTTAGATAGTATATGTATATTAAATTGAATAAAATAAATATAAACAAAATAATTAATATGAATAACTACAACAAAACTTGTATTAGTCAAAAGGGATTAATAAAATCGTTGATTTATTGCAACTTACAATCGAATCTCCTTGGTAAATACTATTGTTCAGATATTTTATTTGTTAATTTTGACGAATATTGTTGTCTCACACCACACCCTCGCAACTTATCGAAGACAATCTATTCTTAGCTAAACATACCTATTAAGAACTATTAGTTTCTGTTTGTACTAAGGCACAGATAGATACAAGTATTTTAACAATATTATTGACCACCGAGACATAATAATGGGTTTTAAAGTCCATGTATTTCTTAATAAAAAAATGCACAGTATAGTCGTTAATTTGTACTGTGTGATATAATTGGCTATCTTAAAGCGCGACCTGTCTTATCCCTCCTTTGTTAGATGCATCAGTCAACTTGTAATCAGTGCATCGTCCGTCCCTCTAGTATGCTTGCTTTCATGAAAGGCATCCTTCTGTATTTTGAATACTAAATATAGGAGGAACAATATAAAGAAATAGCCTTATTTCAGAACAGATTCTTCCATTAAATCGATTTTATAGAAGCCGTAGCTTACGCTAGAGACGATCAAACAAATCAATATAATGAGTTTCATCATAAAGAAGGGAATTGTAGGGCCATTAAATGTGTTTATGTGAACAGATTAGCCGTGACGTTCGCCAATAAAGTGATAAATGCTGGTGATTGGGGTTAAGTAGACGACTTTCAATAAAGTTACCACACAGTAAGATTAATGTTGGGATAGTTTTAAAAGAATACCTGGATTAATGCCACTATATTACAATTTCTGTGTAAATTACCAGAGACATCTAAATTTAGTTACCACTAATAAACAGGCTTATAAAGAGAAAGAGCGAGTTCTGTCCTCTCTTTCGTCAGTTTTTTTTTTGGAACCCCACAAAATAGTACACAGCCAGCAAGTATGTTTACTGTCACACCATTTTGTGTTGTTATGTTTTCCTTTATGGCGGCCTTTTTGCAAAAAAACCTTTTTGCAATGCAATAAAGCACTGAGTGAAAGAGAATGTTGAGTAGAAGAGGATAATGGAAGAAGAAAACTCTTTGCGTCGACTTCGAAAATTTTTTGGATAAAGGGTAAAAAGATGATGATGAATCATCATCATCATCTTTTTACCCTTTATCCAAAATTTGATGATTTTGATGAGTCAAGGTCAAAAATATCACATCACATATCTGCCACACAGCCTTTAATAGTCCACTGCTGGACATAGGCCTCTCTTTAGAAAAGAGGTAAAAAATATCCTGCCTGTAAATTAATGCACATCTCACTAAACTTGCCGTTCGTAATATTTTGTGTCCGTGTGGTGACGGATTAAGAATACGGATTGTCACCACCCCCAATCATCTCGTAGGTGTCGTAAGAGCCGACTAAGGGAGCAAACTAAGCAGGACAACAACACTGCAAAGAGAAGGAAATTTGACACAAACCCTATACCAACCCGTCTTTCCAGCGTGGTATAGTAGGCCAAAACCTCCTTTCCAAGGAGAGGCCACCGGCTTAGGAGTCAGAGTCACTAACCCTAGTGGTTAACCAACAGGTCAAAAATGATTTACAAAAATATTTAGAATTAATTTTAAATCTATTTAATGGGTGTCCCAAAAAATCCAACTACATGGTAATACTTGTAGAAATTATTCAGTAACAATCGCACTCGGCAATGAGCAATTGTAATATTAGGTCGTTGGACTCCAGTTGTAGGTTTTTTACATTTATATATAAACTTTGTACATAAATATGATAAAGATAATGTATGCTCTGTAATGTTGTGGTAATGGGTTTTATAAAGACAGTTTTAAAGCAAAAATATAATGTTATTAGATTCAATTATATGTATATTACGTTGAATGTATATATCACCAGACTTATGGTACAAATTTGTACTCTTTGTGTGTTTACAGTATTAGGAAAACCAATGTTGGTTATTTTTGATGGATTTTAGCAAATTGTACAAAAGCGTTTTAACCAAAATGACAATACAGAAGTTATAAGCGTTGCGAGAAAACTAGTCACCAAGGGTAAACCAAACTGCGAGGTTATCTAGCGGCAATGTTAAGAATACCGATTTTGACACTGTGCTTAAATATTTTAAATACTTATTTGTAATATCTACAAAAGATAATTGATACTCCACTACTGGGCGCTTTTCAAAACACTTTTTGTCTAGCACAACCAATCTGTGGAACAAGTTATCGTCTGCGGTATTTCGGGACCGATACGACCTTTAAACTTTCCTTCTTCAAAGGCTGGCAATGCGCTTGTGACTCCCTAAGTTGCAGGCGTTCATGGGCGGCGGTAATCGCTTTCCATCAGGTGACGCTTCTGCTCGGATGCCCCTCTTCCAAAAAAAAAAGAGGTTTTAAAAGTACCACTAGCCACGAGACGTTGTACGTGGGAGAGCCATGCGCTTTGACACAAATGGGCCAACTCGACCGGTGTGAAACCACGTCACGGTCACAGAAATCGGTGTTAAGTAACTCCTCCGTTGCTTTTTACCGAGTGAGAGAGGTTACAGGAGTACAAATTATCCCTCCCTCTGATTCGGGGGAGGAGTTAAGGGGCGGCGTCGCAATTAGGTGACTCTTGAGTTGAAGGTGTCAGTGGGCGTCGGTAGTAACTAACCATCAGATGACCTGTCTGCTCGTTTGCCCTTCTAAGACATAAACAAAACTGTCCGGTTTTTTTATGCGTCTTAAATATAAGAATAGGAAAATGTATGCTTACTGAATAATTAATATAAACTGATAATGACGAAATAAACTCCTTTTAAAGTAATATTAATGTTTTCCTTTATTCTCTATTTACAGGTCTCCAGCACATTTAAACAAGCAGTCAGTAAAAAGGAGAATTTGGAACATTTGGGCGGCATGAGCGAAGCATCCAGTGACGGTATGTGCAATTTGACAACATATCACACAAGCTAAATAATAATTTATTGTTGTTTATTTTGGGTAAAAAATACTCTACGCCTTTCTGAACTGAAACTGATCTGTGTCTGACCTAGTGGTTTGATCATTTCTTAACTTATAATACGTCGTCTGATTCTGCTGACGTCGTCTGAGTCATCCATGCAACCCTGCTACTTAACTCTTCTCACTGGTATAGTCATCATCATCATCAACAGCTTTTAATAGTCCACTGCTGGACATAGGCCTCTGCTTAGAATGGAGGTTTTGGCCTACTATAACCATGCTGGCCAGACGGGTTGGTCTAGGGTTTGTTTCAAGATTTCCTTCTCTTTGCGGTGCTGTTGTCCGGCGTAGTTAGCTTCCTTTGTCGGTTCTTACGACACCCACGTTATGAGCAGGTTTGGTAACACTCCGTTTTCTTAATCCGTCACCACATGGATTCTTAAAGCTTAACTTGCCGATGCATTCCACAGTTCAAACTGTTCGTTTGTGGAATGATTCATCCACTTTCGCGCCGTTAAAGTATGCATATAGCATTATACATGAAATATTTCATGATTATTCTACAGGTACGACCCACTCAGTCCGTCTAGAAGAACAGATGGCGTTTTCCGGATGGATCAATAGCAACTTGGAGCATGACCCGGACCTTACGTATCTGTTGCCAATCGACCCAGAAGGGAAGCAACTCTATGACAAGCTGAAGGATGGACTTATATTATGGTAAGTTACTTTAAAATATAAATAATATGATAGAAATGATATCTACTAATGTAATAGTAAAATCTAGTAACTACTAATACTATATATGACGCAGAAGTTTAGAAACAGTACTAATGAGACTTTGTTATTTTAAACCGACTTCACACAAAGGAGGCAGTTCTCAATTCTTTAGAACAAGGTCATTTATGAACCCTATCGTGGATATACCCATACATCCCTTTTGGTAACATTCAATACAAAGAAAAAGTACCCGTCTTATTACAATTCGTCATTATAGAGGTGTTGCAGTCGGTGATATTTAAAGGAAGTTAATTATGTTGTAATGTTATTTTGTAAAAATGGGTCATATGAATGGTTGTTACGTATATTATTTGTACCCGCAATAAAATATAATTAACCAATCCCAAACCACCTCTTCCTGATAAAATATATTTTACCTTAACTCTTCTTCTATTTTATCATTTAATTATTATGAAAAAGAATTGAGATGACACAATAGTGTAGCATAATTTAAGTACCGGTTGTAATCCAATTATCAAATGCAAATTTATTTATTTGCATAAAATTTGTAGGTACATGAGATCTTACGTGCTAAACAGTGCTAACAACTTCAGTCAAAATAGATTTAATATGCAAATTTGTAGTAGTAAGCATGGAGCGCTTAAAATAACTTCGTAAATTGTGGTGGTGGTGGCTAAAACATTGACCCAGAACGCTACTAACGTAAACTCACTCATTTGGCTTACCTTAACAAGAATACCAGTCATTCCTTATTTTATAAAAAAGATTACATGACTGCACGAATATTTAAGCAGTCACCTCGCCGATCCTACTGCGCTGAGTGGTGTGGGTTCGATCCCCATATGGGACAACACCTCGTGTGATCCAAAAATTGTTGTTCTAAGTCTGTGTGTTCTGTGCATCCGTTTCATGTATTTTTGTAAAGACCCCCCGCGACACAAGATATATTACTAGTGCGAGAGTTGTTTTTATAAAAAACAAAAAAGATGTCCTGATAATTGGATAACTTCAAAATGTTTATATTTTTTTGCAGCAAAGTGATAAACCACTCGTGTCCGGACACGATAGACGAGCGAGCGATCAACAAGAAGAACCTGACATTGTACACAAAACATGAGAACTTGACGCTGGCACTGGTCTCTTCCCAGGCCATCGGGTGCAATATTGTTAACATCGACGCACACGACTTGGCCAAAGGTAAAAAAATGCTACTCACAAAACCGTCACAAAACTTTATTTCTGAGCAACTATATTTCTAAGACAACTCATCTTCTATACTTATGTTATAGAGCAGAAGAGTTTGTTTGTATGATTGAACGAGCTAATCTCAGGAATTAGATAGATAGAACCGTTTTACTAAGAAGCAATGTCAGACATGTTCGACTGCACGGATGGCGTAGTGGTTTAAGCGGTCGCCACGCCGCTTTCTGCTACACCGTGAGTTGTGGGTTCAAACCCCACATGGGACGACACTTTGTGTGATCCACAAATTGTTGTTCTGAGTCTGGGTGTTCTTTGTGTCCGTTTCATGTATGTTTGTAAAGACCCCGCGACACAGGATATGTTCCCAATGCTGGCGTTGTCGTTCTTTAAAAAGAAAAAGAAAGACATGTACAAAAGGCGGCCGTATTGCTAAGAGCAATCTCTTCCAGGCAACCGTAGTATGGATCAAAATGTTTTGGTGAGACAGTAGTAGTTGAAGGTGCAATGAGTTTTGAATGGTTAAATGCCAATAGACACATTTAAAAATTCATACAAATACATACATACGTAACTATATCTATTACTGGTTTGAATTGAATAGTTGTTTTAGTGTTGAATAACTATTTCGTTAAGACAAAAAGGAGCGGAGCATCAATGAAAAAATGTTGCAAAAACGGGGGAAATTTAATCCTTTTAGGATACAGAGGAATCAGCTAGTCTTATATAATTGTAGATACACACGGGAATTAACGTAATCGCCTGATAGTTATTTACATACCATTGAATTGTTTGACGACGGTCTGTACAATTTATTGCGATGTAAAACGTCAGGCCATTCAAAGGTATGTAGGCAACTAATATTTTTATTCCTACAAATCTATGTTTTGTGTAACTCTGACGTCACGTTTCATAATACTGTGTGTGTGATCTACTACCGTTACGATTTAAAGTAATATTTAATCGGACAGTGATGTGAATAATTTATTACATCAGTTATAAATGTTATTGAAACTTAGTTTACAAAACATGTTCTATTCATTTATGTAGGATAGTAGATAATTATATGTTACCGTCAACTTGCAGGCAAACCTCACTTGGTGTTGGGTCTTCTGTGGCAAATCATTAGGATCGGCCTGTTCAACCAGATCACTTTGGAGCACTGCCCGGGTCTCACTGAACTGCTTAATGATCAGGTATGAACATAACTTTGATTAATAGTAAATGTATTCAATTCGTTTTTTGGCATCGCCATTTTTATTTTATTATTATTAAATGGAACTATTTTATTGCTTAGAGGGATAAAGTTACTACAAGTGGTTTTATTTACACTCCTTTTTTCGTAAAAAGAATTGCATAACATTACAAATAAATAAAACAACATTGTTTTGTGAGTATGTATGCGTTATATTTAACTCAATATAACAATAAATATAAGCATTGTAACTTTTTAATTTAAGTAGTTAACATCTTTCAAGAGGAGATTTTAACATTTTATTATTTTATGTTTTACCCATCTCAATGCGCACAAATATTGCCGCCAAATAATTAAATCAAGTAATGAATCATTCAAAACCGAGATACGGGCATCAAGTGGTCACTATTATAACGATATTCTCATTAATATTAAAAGGAACGCATCGAAGACCTGCTAGCGCTGTCGCCCGAGGCCATCCTGCTGCGGTGGGTGAACCACCAGCTGCAGAGCGCCGGCGTGACTCGGCGCTGCACCAACTTCCAGCAGGACGTGGCTGACTCCGAGATATACTCCTACTTGCTCAAGCAAATCGCACCCGATGACGCTGGAGTGGGCCTCGACGCTCTTAGGGTACGTGGACATCGTACTTACTATGTTTTTAACTATTATAAATTACTAATAATTCCAATAACGTAGCAGCTATCTACTTAACATTCTTATGATCGTAAATTAACCAATATAATCGTAGTGTATTTCAGCGAACAAGCGGAAATATTAGAAAAATATTTCCTTTTAATCGTTGAATCGAATAGCATAATGTAAAAGTTGCATACAACAATTATTCCTAGTAAATTAAACATTGGTAGCCATCATATATATGTAAGTGGTCACTGTGAATACTTAAATGAGTCACTCATTTTCTCTCTCTTCGAGGTTGGCACGAACAACATGATATTGCTTTCTTTACGCCTCACATATGCCTCATAGCTTTCTCATAAGCTTTCTATAGGCGAATTATAAAAAAATACGAGCTAAATGCGGGCAATGATCACATACATGTAGTAACTGCTTTACGCAACTATTCAATGCACCATTGTGATCAAAGGTACTAAATGACAATGTATCTATACCGAGTTACGACGTGGACTGATTTCATCGTTCGCATAATGAGAGTTTAAATTCACTTAATACTGTTAAAACAGTCACACAATTATTCTCTTTCTTCATACCAAATTCCAAATACTTGTAGCGTTTAATCTATAACCCCCATGAATTTAAAAGATTGATACATAAATATTCAGGAACAAGACCTACTCCGTCGTGCCGAGCTGATGTTACAACAAGCCGCCAAGCTCCGCTGTCGCGCGTTCGTGACGCCCGCGGACGTGGTGGGGGGAGTGTACAAGCTCAACTTGGCGTTCGTCGCCAACTTGTTCAACCAACACCCTGGCCTGCAGCGGCAGGCTGACACTGAGGAATACCACCAGCTGGATGAGACCAGAGAAGAGAAGAGTAAGTATTCTATTGGAGAGTACATCACATCTGAATGACTTTCGGTACTAATAACTAAGAAACTTGGTACCGATAGTTATTACGATTAAAATAAATAAATAATGTGATGACTTAATTATACTGTATGATTTGCTAAAACTTAACTAAAAATGTAAATGTCTAAAGTTTGGATGTAAAATAGGCCCTATCTGTCTGTCATGGGCGGCGATAGTCACTTTCCATCAGGTGACCCGTCTGCTCGTCTGCCCCCTCTAACATAAATAAAAAAATAAATGACATTAAATTGAACTGTATTTACAAAGAACAATGGCAGGTTCCACACAAAAAAATAATTTGGAATCAAATCATCGTCTTGTAGTGAAAAAAAATATTAAAAAATTCGCCATTTTTTTTTAAATCTATGTTTAAAACAATGTTTGTTTCGAAAAGGGTAGGAAACATATTAGCATTTGATTTTTTCAGTTAAGCCCTGCATTTTTTTTTAAAGAGTCCACAGATAAAAGTCTTTTATAACATAGCTGCATAATGTTTCCTTTATTTCATCAATTTTTCTATAGCTATCGACTTTACTTAACTATTTGATAATTATAACTGTATGTGTGCCGCTTAAATGAAATAAAATGATAATAAAGAATTATTATATTTATAGCTGTAGAAATTTCGTAGGTTATATTTTTATGTGCCTGATCCATGAAATAATCATCTTATACTTATTTAAATCTGCACATATAATATCCAATAAGTATATTCCTTTTCCTTAATTTATTACCTATTTCAACGTGTAATGAATTGTAAATTCTCAACCTAAACTAATAAAATCGGCAGCGACCATTCGCCGCCTGTCGCGTCAGACGTTTAGTTTTTATATTTAAACACAGAGCGCAAAAATCTGTCAAGAGTTGTTAAAAAACCTTTGCTTTTTTTCAGCTCGCAGTTCCCACTTTATTTTTTTTTTACTTAAATATATTCCACTACAGGATTTTCAAATTCGTAAATAATGCGTTTAATAATGCACCACAAACTAAATTCTTTATTGATTCAGTATTTAGAATTATAAAACTATTATCTGATTACCATATTACTATCAAGTTAATCACTACCATATTACGATACTTTATTGGACTATATTTCCACTACTTGAAAAACATGGCTGTAAAATGGTAACACTAAACTGATAATGGAAATAAAAACAATCAAATAAGCTTATAATATTTTTCTTTCTTTTCCTGTAGTTATACTGACGTAGATGATAGTTTAAAAAAACGTAGATATTTACTAGAATTAGTTTCCTATGAATGACATTTTAAGACGCTCAAATTATACTCAACCACAAATTCGTCATTGTTCTTTGAGTATAATAGAAAAATTGGTACAGGCAACAACATCACATAATATTAATTTTTATACAAAACAAAGCTGAAACTACAGAAGATATGAGAAGGAACAATTAGGAAGAAAAATAATTATAATTGTTGCCATTTTTAACTTTTATTGTGTACTTCCAGCTTACCGCAACTGGATGAACTCGATGGGCGTTGCTCCCCACGTCAACTGGCTGTATTCCGACTTGACTGATGGCCTTGTCATCTTCCAGCTGTACGACATCATCAAACCTGGCATCGTTAACTGGAAGAAGGTAGTTACAGAAAATTGGACAGCTTTGCCAATTTTTTTCCTACAAACTTCTAAGAATAATTCTTCTATTCTGCTTACTAGAAGAGACTTAATTTACTTGTACCTACCCGTATGTAAATTATTAATAAAAACGTGTAAACTAAGAAAATAACATCTATACAGAGTTTCTGCAATTTAATTCTTAATTATATTAAGAAAATATTTCATAAATAGTCATTGGTTCAAAAAAAAATATACAGATTGACTTATTACAGATTATCTTATTTTAATGGGAGTCTTTACAAATTTTAGCGACGACCAGTGATAAGTTTAACAGTTTAACGTACTCTTAAGCCGTTTCTATTCTTAGTGCATACATGCTTATTGCATACGAGCACACTATCATCAAGATTATTTTCATTAAGAACATCGGAATACCTAGAGCATCGTTACACCGATTTTGTTAACGGCCAGGTGCACAGACAATTCTCGAAGCTGCGCAAGTTCATGGAGCGCCTGGAGAACTGCAACTACGCCGTGGAGCTGGGCCGACAGCTCGGCTTCTCGCTCGTCGGGATCGCCGGCGCAGACATCAACGAAGGCAACGCCACGCTCACATTGGGTAAGTGTCTGAGAGACTGCAGCCCGCTCCTTGTAATTCTATCCTTACATACCTTACCACTTTTCTCTACTATTATTAAGAAATCATTAATATATGCATGCAAACGGAATGTAATTCATTAAGATAGAGCAGCTAATATGTAACTGTATTAATTTATTCCAATATTGCACTAACATGATTAAAGGTGTTTTTACACCTGTTGAGGATTTCTAAAGTTGTATAACTCAGTGTTATACCTTCATACAAGAAAGTAAACGACTATCCTTGACAACATCTCTTTTTCTAAGTCCATATTCGTCTTGAAAACCGATCACCGCCTTTGAGAGTTCATTAATAACCAAATTGTCAAAAATAAATTAAGTGAGGAGAAATAAAGTATATAGTTCTTTAGAGTTGACACCTTTTTTTTTGGATACCACCTATCGGTGGCATGTCGGACTTGACCCGACTAAAACCGCATGCCGTCTCGGGTAGTAATAGCCGGGGAACCAGGTATACCCTAGAAAGGAAGTCCCTGGTGCCCCGACATACCTCGGGCCATCTACAGACGAGTAGACGACACCCCCCGTGTGGGAACCCCATGTTCCCTTCACCTGTTACCCCCAGGCCTGCGCTTAATGGAGGACGGAGGTCGTTCTGCGTCTAGGATTGACACCTGAGTTGGTGTGCCGCATTTGGCTTTTAGAAAATAATATGTTAATAATTTCCACAGCGTTGATCTGGCAACTGATGCGCGCTTACACACTCTCTGTCCTCACCCGCCTGGCCAACACTGGCAACCCCATCATTGAGAAAGAAATCGTGCAGTGGGTCAACAACAAACTAAATAGCGCTGGCAAGTCTACGTCTATTAGGAGTTTCCAGGTAATAAATAATTATTTCTATAATCTGTACATTGGTGTATCATACCATCATACTGGATTCGGAACTAATATTAGTAAAAGTTATGCATACGTTTGACTAGAAATTCTATTTGGTTGTGACCTGTACATACAAGCTCAAATTTTTTTAAGAACATATCAAGGAGTTGATAAAACCAGCTGCGTTTGTACGTCTTAATATTTTTAGGGTTCCGTAGATTATGATATTGTGCGTGCAGGTCTACATTACACGTTACATACTATATTACACTAGTAACCCCAAATTATCAATGAAAATAATTTATTTAAGGTTGTATGGAATAAAAGTTCGATACTTAATATTTTTTTTATTTAACAATTTTTTATAGGACGAGATACTGGCTGATGGCAAGGTAGTGATCGATTTGATCGACGCGATCAAACCTGGTTCGATCAACTACGATCTCGTGTTACCTGGCAATAACGATGAGGTGAGTGAGATACGTCACATTTAGTTCTTTGTGTAGTCTTTGTTAAACTTCAAAATGGTATGTTCTTTATAACACTTATATAAGAATTTATGACGTCACAGCCTGCTATTTGACGTAGATTTTTTGAGCCTTGTGCCGGAGCCTTAAAGTCTCTGTAATGTAATGTAATGTAGACATGACTGAGTGTGCGTTGTGCAGGAGCGGCACGCGAACGCGAAGTACGCGATCTCGATGGCGCGGCGCATGGGCGCGCGCGTGTACGCGCTGCCCGAGGACATCACGGAGCGCAAGCCCAAGATGATCATGACCGTGTTCGCCTGCCTCATGGCGCTCGACTACATCCCCGCCATGGACGCGCCCGTCACCGCGTAAGGACACCCACACCGTCGCGTCTGCGCACTCATACTCGGAACTTCGGACGGCTTTCGACCAAACTAATTCTATGCATTGTACATACGTTAGTTGACATCATTATTCACCATACAGTAAATAAAGGTGAACTGACAGATAATATTTTAACTACACGATTTGTCTCGTTACTGTGCGCGCATAAAATTTAATTGAACAGTAAAAGTAACCTAAAATAAATAGTAAAGGAAATATTGTGTTAATAAAGTAATATGTCTCGAATATAGAGTAGAAAAAAAAATGGGTCACAGTACTATTTATGGGATCATACATTCATTATTACTAATAATCGATTATTATTACAGTTCACAAATGCCAAATGATTACATTTTAGAAATGATAACAAATAAACACGTCAATTAATATAATAATCGTTCAAATTGAATCATCAATCAAATAATTTAATTGGTTGAATGATCGTTAAATGATCTGATGAACGTAACCTGAAATGCCGATCGAAGTTCCGTATCACTGCACGATCAATTTTATTTGTCGCCTATGTTATTGGGAATAGTAATGTATATGTACTGAATTAATGGCTTTTTACAATATATATCGCTTAAAAGCTACTAATTCTATTGCTGCATAAACAATAGAACACAGAATTTTATTGGAAAAATCAATAAAATCCTATGTTATTATGGGATAATGTATATTTATTTTATGTAACAAGGGTTCATATTTACAGTGTGTATGTCGTTGTATAGGGGTGTGTTTGTATCAAATATATAAGATGCTGTTCATTTCAAAATATTGGACACAGTACTGCTACCAATAGAACGTATCATCGTACAGGTTGGATTTTATTCGTGAAATTTATTGTATTGCATTAACAAAGGCCCCATGACCCTGGCAAGGTGTTATCGACCCGAGAGGTGAAGTGGTGACATTAAAACAGCTGTTTGAATTATGGTCGTGTCGCATTTTTTTTAAATAAACATGTTTGACTGAAACTTTGACATGTTCATAACACAGTGTTTGTTTGCCAGCAAATTTTTTATGATTTATAAGCAGTATAACCCTGAGAAATCGCCTGTATTATGACACAAACTATACATATTATATTGCTGCACATTGTATTGTATACAGTGAGAGTCTTATATAAAGCAGTGTAAGTAATATAAGTAGATACCCACATTCAATTAAAACTACGAATACCCACCTACTAGTAAAATATAAAAATGGCTGAATCGACTACTTTTAAGGATTAAAACCTTTTTTTTATGATTATATGCTAAGTAAAATAATTGTCTATGTTTTGAGATAACTCTTAGTTGAACAATGTTTTCTTTATATAATTTAAAAGTGATTGCGTATTTGACATTTTAATATTCTGCAAGTGGCAAAGAGTGTCAATTTAAGATATCATACTAAGAACACCGTTTAGCTAATGTAAATTCATACGATTATTTTTCTATTTCAGTAACAGTAGAGTGTTTTCTCGACTGACTGTTTACACCACATTCCAAATTTTATATTTTTTTTATTTGGTGAGGGGTCGTACTGTGATGTCTATGTCGCTAGTTAGGTGGGATAAGCACATTGGAAGTACTAAATATAATGCATACTTTTTTTATAATCGTAAAAAAAAACTAAATTTAAAAAGAAACACCACTGGCATGAATTAAATTGTTCACTTTTAAATGTTTAGTATTTTCAGTGTGCACTTATAAATACTTGTGTATGTGACGTAAATATTTTATTAAGTGTAACTTACTATTAGGGCTGAGACCTATAACGGGCCTGAGTAGTTTTTAAATAAAATCATTAAAGAATATTACTATTTTTTACAAGCTGTCCGCAGGCCTGTAGTCTTCAACAACAATTAATTACGTAATTATAATGACGTATATATCAGATACCAATCGTTTTAACGCTTTGAATACTACGTCACTATTGTAGATATAAAAACTGAGCCTACTTCATATAAGCTATGACTCGGAAGGGTACAGTGATTGTGCTTACATGGTACATGGTATGGTACAGTTGTGACGTAGTACAAACATAGTACTTATGAACCATTAGTATTATCTACACGTAGACGAAATGTTTTTTATACACTTTTACAACGAATTGTATTGGGTTTATATCGAAAAGTACGACGCTGAAGTCGTATGTATTAGAATTAATATAATTTGTGTAGTCGGTTAGGGATGTCGGGGTACTTAAATATGCCGAGAAACTAATATGAATAGGTGATAAACAATTTGTTTCTTTCTGGCTTCCAAAAATATTGAGTTGACATTCTTAGAATGTAAATTTGTTTTTAATGTTCTAAATATTAAATGAATCATTTAAGAGTTCGCATAGATACTTGACAAAGAATACCATTAAAGAAAATAAACCTTACATCCAGATGTTCATTTAGAATGATTGATCATAAATCGATAATTTGTATCAATCGAGAAATCGACTGCAATTATGTCAAAAGTGGGGAAATTCTGAGGCACCATGTATAGGTTTGTTTTTTGTATAATCGATTTGAATACATCGTAAAGTAATTGTATCGATCGCTTTTATGTGTGGGAATTGGCAATAACGTGTGTGTGGAATTGTTTATGTGATAATTATGTAACAATATATGCCATTACAGAATATATTCACGATATCTGCAAGGAGAAGCTTTTGAATATCTTAGTAAGGATGTTTTACTTCTTGTAGATATTCTACTAAAGTCTCAAAATACCTGCTTTGTACTTGCAACATTTAGCTTTTTATTTAAAAGAAATTACATTTTCTACGGCTCATATTTACAAAAATATATTAGATTAAATAAGCAGTTTGAATTTAACAATTAAACAGCTTGAGGGTACAAAAGCTAATTTTATTATAGTAACAGCTAGCTGAGTATATATTAAGTGTACTAAAGGACCCCATACATGGATGGATCATGGCTCCATACATGGCAACATAGCTTGAGTATATAGAAAAAAAAAACTAGCTTAAATGTAGTAACTGATTTTCTAAATTTAATTAATTATGATAGTCACCTAAATTTGTTACCCAAGTATGAGCAGGCATTCTACACGTCATGTACCTACCGTTCGTTAACTAAAACGTTGTAGCTTTGAACAATAATCGTTCTATGTTGTGATGTTTGTTAGCGGACGGAGCACGTATATAGCTTTATATTTCGCATTCCTCAGATGTTCTGCATTCCCTCGTCCGCATTTATCATTCTCAATTTATTAGTTATAGAAATGTATATTTCTTATGTTATTTAAGTTATATTCTGTGAAATATTTTTGTAGCGTTTTTATTAGAATAGACCTTCCCGCGGGAAACAACGATATTTTACAATCATAATATTTTTTATTGTAAATTTTTATTTTGTTAGACTTTTTTAAGGTTTTTATTGATTACGTAATTTTTAGACGTTTATTTTGAAATCAATTAGAAGTTTTAATTTCTTAACATGTAACGTGAATCGAAAGTATCTAATAAATTAACTTTAATAACTCCACTGTATTTAGTGATGCTAGTTATCGGTAATGTTAATATACAAGAATGTGTAAGCCTAAAAATAAAACGGAATTGGTAAAATAGTATTTCTCTTATTTTCTATCCTCAAACCATTGTATGTCCACAATATAACATAATTAATTCAATAACGCGAGCCAAGATTTTAATAAACTTAAATTATATAGTATAAAAAGCAAAACTAATACAATACAAAGCACATAAAGCAATCCAATACTGCTATTTAGTATATTGTATATACTTCAAAATATACTTAAAAAAAATATATATTTCACATTTGATATTTCATAATTTTTTGGGTTCATTTAAATGTTATCATTGGGACTCATGCGACCAGTCATTTCACATCATAGTGAGTTATTCTATATACGTGGTCATGATGTTTTTATAACTTGTGTTAGCTTTATGCTTCTGAATGTCAAAATGTTAAATGTTAGCATCAGTATCTTTGATCGAAGGAGATGACTACAATATATATATATATTGTGTATATATGTGTATTATGTACACATATATCATATACATACTTAACATTGATTTAGTCCGTATAAAATCAATACTGTTAGATTGTCCAATATTTTTATGGCTATTATATTGTGATGATTGGATAATTTCTAAGGTGTATACGTCAATATAAAAAAACATTAATTGACTTATCACCACTAATAGACAACAAACGATGTTTTATATATTTGCCCTATTATTATCACGACTACAACTCATTTGATTATATGATCTTATGATTAATTTCTGTGTGTGCTAATATTTTCAGCAGTTCGGAACCTTTGCTATCGGCAACAGAGGTCGGCAGCGGCAATGAGTTTCACTATGAAGTTACCACTCTTGTGGGGTATGACAGTTCATTTTTTATGCAGTATAGAGGTTAAACTCTTTTATATGTAGATCACTTGTCACTTGCTGTTTACAACTAAATATTTCAATGTACATTATCAAACAATCTGAACTTAATCAATCAAACATTATCTGGTATGGTACATGGTTACAGGAGCAGAAAAGTACAAAATCATTTTTGGCAATCTAGTGCAAGCATTTGCTGTTCAGTTTTTTTTTTTAATATGAAACCTTTATTGCCATATAGCTATCTATCTATCTCATCTGGTAGTGCCATCTCATGTTTATTGAAATTTTAATTCTAAATACAAAATTTTAAATATGTAAGACACATTAATAACTTTTTTTAAGTACAATAGAAATTTAATGCGTTCAATTACAGAACTATCGATTCAATGGAACAGTATCGAAGGGAAGAAAGCGAAGCGGTTGAGGAAAATTCTGAAGAATTGCTGGAAACAGAAACAGATGCCACGGAGAATACAGGAAGGGATGCCACGGAGAAGCCTACACCGCCGCCCAAACCTGATAATTTGTCACCTTTGCCCAGCTCTACAGCTGTTGCTTCAAATGAATAGTGTAGTTTCAAGATCAACGTGAAAAGGAATGACTCTTATAAGAAGTCTTATTGGTTTTTTAAGATAAGACTGCTTTAAAAGCATTATTTATTGTTTTTCTATGTAAGATCCATGTTATTTTTTACGTTTTATATATTTTTTGAGTAATGGATGAGTAAATAGTGTGTGAATACTAATTGTTTTCTTTTTAATCCTTTAAACGCAACAAGAGACTTGATTTGTATCTTAAAGAAGATTACCTAAATTCTAGAATATTGTTTACTGTAAAAAACACAAAAAAGGATAGTGTTTTCTTGAAAATATACTTAAGATATTGTATGTGTTGGAAGCCCGTTCTCTATGCAAGGAAACAGCAATGGCTTAGCTCGAATGACAAGGCACATCAACACACAACACGTGAACAAGGTATACAAGGAAACTCTTCACGAAAAGTTAAAATAAAACACAGGTCTGAATAAAATTGTGATGATTTAATTTAATCTATAGCCGGCAACGAAAATTAATACTTTTACATATTGTAACATACATATTATATTTTTGTGTGATTTGAAAACAAATGATTAACTACAATACAACACAATCCATGCGAGTGTAGAACGTACATGCAATTGACGACACCGGCAACGGTGCCAACGATATTTATAAATCAAAATATATATACGACATTAATTATCTAATTCGTGAAACATTCAACAATTTCGATTATTTCTCTATTTTTTCATTGGTTTAGAATATAAAATTATTTACATACATACAACAGTTGAAGGTTTGTTTTTATATATTTATAGTTCTGTTTAATGTCACTGATGCAAGTTAGGACACTGGGAACTAACGCTATCTCAATGATAATGTTTGATAACATATTATCACAGCACTATCATATATTTCAAAATAAGCGTTTTAGAAATTTGAAAAAAAAAAACAGAACAGTCTGATCTGAAATCTTTAGATTAACGGACCTTGCTTATTTGAGTACAAAATATAAACATATCAGAAAATGTAGATACTATGTATATGTGAGATACTACTAGTCACAATATTTTCTAACATGAATATAACAATTAAAAAGAAATAGTCTTGTATAAGTAAAACAAATCGCAATCCAATCCAATTTTTAATTTGTATAGAAAGTATAACACCTGCAATAGACAATGTCTTGAAATTAAATCTATCAATTTAATAAAATATAACAATTTTCTGTAGGTATCTACCAATATTGCTTTCTTTACAAATACAACGTAGTTAGAAAATAATTTATTTTTACACAAATAATACAATTTTAATTATTTTTTTAATTCAGAAAATTTTGTGAATGTTTCCTTATACTCGTGTCTGAGAAGTTTAAACAAACTCAGGTTAAATCTAGAGATACCAGATTAGTTCGATTATTCATTGCAAGCGTTAGCAAAATCAGTTTAAGATTTGAAAGAGCACTGTCATACTGCTACACAGTAAGACAATTTGGAATGTACTCATTACAAGATGAAGAGAATGTACTACCATAGATTTTTTCAGAGCTACTTGAATTGTTCTCTAAATCAAATGTCTTTGTTCTAGCAAAAACCATTTGAAACTTAGTTGACAATTAAAAAAAAATATTGTCTCTGTAATTCGTCGTAAATAATGAAAAAATATTCAATGGGCGATTTACAAAATTACTACAACACGAAAACCATCATGCATAGTTGTGAACTATAGTATCGCCAAGTTATTTTGCTTTAAGTGATATGCCCTACAGTTCATAGACAAGTTCTAGCTTTAACAATAAACTGTGAACAAATTGACAAACTTGATTCCTAAATAATTTAATAATAAATAATGTCACTTTACGTGAATATGATATATATCACATTTAATTCGAATAATCGCAAAGGAACGAATTTTTTTTCTAATTTAAATTCTTAAAAATTCCGCTAATTTTGCAACACAAAAAGAAATATTTTATAAAACCATGTCCAAAAGTACAATATAAGCATTGTGATGTCAACAACACCGCCCTACCCCGTGACCCCATTCAACTACATACAGCAAACTTAAAGCAATTACTTTAGTATATCCTTCACCTAAATAATACAATTCATCAAACGCTTTTACAGATTCGAGATAAACCGTTCAGCCTTTAAGGTTTTCAAGAATTTACTTTCCTCAAACAAATTGCGTATGACAATATGACAACGTGGACATAGACTATACAGAATACAAACAACCTGTCAGAACACAGGCATGTTGACAACAAACACTCAACTTGACAAATGTTCACTGGAGTCAGTTTACTTTTGTGAGCAATAGTAAGATTGGACAACGTAAGTTTAGTATTACTTACAAACTTTACAGCAAATCATCAAGTAACTAATGTGGGCCCAGCCCGACGTTTACTCATGTAAAATCACAACTTAAACTATAATGTGATGACACACGCTACTAATTTATTAAAAAAGAATGTTTAAATTACAAAGTTTACGCTTCTTGTTATCTAGAATAGAGTAAAAACATTTATACCGTATGTCATCACACCAGTTTTATACACTTAACGTTTAAAATAGTAAAGAAATATCACTGTTATAAGTATACTAACACCACGGGCGACTCCGCTACGAGTTGATAAACATGTCAAAACTTGTTGATATTCTTACATATATTTATTACGAATTCTATAATTAAAAAGAGAGCCCACTATCTTTGAATGTATAATTATTGAGTATAATAACTGTTAAGAAACATAGAAACTTTCAACTCGCGACGGACCTCCCAATGTTACTGCTCAGTTAATCTAACATATTTTCTAGTGTCTTCTACAAATATATTGGCTATAGAAACAATAAAATATCTTATGCGCTCTCAGAAGTAAAGCAATTCAAAGAAAACGTTCCTAATATCTTGATTTATTTTTTAAATCATACAATTAACATTGTAAACAATTAACATTGTGTTTAATTTTTAAATCTAATATGTAATTAACTAAGCAGTGTTTACCTCAACAAACATGATAACGCAGAGCGTCCCAGGACAAAATTGCAATAACAGCTAAAATTCCACTAGCGATGCTGATCTCATAAAATCAACCACATAACGACTTGCATTCATACCTGCCAGAGAGAAAAAACAAAATTAAACAAAAAAAATATAAAAACAAAATCAAACCATCAACCAAGTTTCCGAACAAAATATATATAAAATAAATTATTGCAATTAAGTCCATCAGAATTACGAAGTACAAATAGGGATTTTATAAAATTTTATTGCTGATAATATAACATTATATATACATAATTATGATGATATGATTGTAGGATTCTTTGGACTGACGGACAAAATAAAATATTTTTACATCAATCTTACTACTGACGCTTTTTATTAGGATTACCGAAATATAATTCATGCTAACACCACTTTGAAAAATAGTAAGGAAGAGCGGTGAAAATGTGTCTACATTGTATTATTGAAAGCATCCAACCACGTCACCACGTCACCACGTCAATCTAAAGTATCCTTGCACTATTATACATACGTACATACACTAAATTACATAACAAAGCTTACAATATAATACAAATTAATTGTAACTACACAGTTTTTTTAAAATAATACAAAACATTGGAATAGCAATAACTTTATATTAGAATGTGAACTGAGGTTAGGAGACAGTCAACTGCATTATATAGCATTTATATTAAATTTATCTAAATATTTAACGTTATTGCTTGCTGGTGGAGATTAGTGAAATTGGACAGAATCACGTTATTATGAAATACCTAATAGACTAGTGTAGTATTCATTCTCATCTCATACTATCAACCATAATGCCTTGTAAATTATCTTTAGTATAGATAGATAAAAGCTTTGTTTTGAAACACAAAACAATTTTGATTTTGAAGTTAATAGCTGTAGCTTACGGGTTTTACCGAATTTTGTATAATAAAAGGAGATTCACTATATATACTATACGTCTGAAACTACCCTGTTCTTAACTTTTATGTTCTTTGTAAGGATCGACTTCGAAGGATTTACCTTCGAAGTCGATCGGGTACGATTGCAGAATAAAAAAGCATTTAGTGATTTAAAGTTAGCTTTCTAAGTATTTTAATATCATCATGGAACGGTCGAAATCTGCAAATCCAGTATCCAGTAATAATGGGAAATAATTATTTAATAGATTTAAAAAAAAATTACATGTCGGTAGTTTTTCGTACCTCTACTCCCTCTGGCCTGAGTACCGAATAGATAGCGAAAGATTATTTAGTATGTTTATTTAGAATAAATAAAATATAATTTTAATTCATATTCATAAGAAATGTCTTCGAAAAACTACACACTAATATTGTATCTGTCTCCAAACGCCAATTCTTGCGTCAGATTAAATAAAAAAAAATAAAGATGAAACTGCGAACAACGAAGTAAGGCCGGTTTTGTAAACATGTGTGCGTGGGCCGTCATATTTTATTTTTATTTCATTGAATACTTTATATCATCAGTCATATTTTATTACTTATGTGTGAAATGCAATTCCAGCTTACTACCTATCTATTGTAGTTTGATTTTTATACCCTTTCACAACACAATTCGGCATTTTTACTTGTAAATATTGTTAACATTTTTGGTGACGTTTTGACTGACAATGCGTAGTCTCGTTGTACATGTGTGCGTGTAATTGCGTATGTGTCAAGGCGGAGTTTTAATTGGCCTAACTTCTTTGTTCACAGAGTACTATCTTAACTTTTTTATTTGATCTGAGGTTAAGACAAATTAATTACAACTATTATTAATGTTTTAACCTTTATACTATTCTGGACCGGTACATACATTATGCTAGTGGACACGCCTTTCAAAGTCAGAGGAGTATCAGAGAGATGTGAGATGATACATGTACAAGTCAAATGTAACTTTGTCCCATGGCTCAGTAGGTTCTTGGTACTAATGGTAAAAAAATTGCTAGGTACCAAATTACTAAGACAATTTATATATAATATAATACAATAATACATAAGTGATCTATTATTTTGAAGAATTTCGGTGCATTATTTAATCATCCAACGTCATATCCATCTACCAATCTAGAGAATATGTCATGTTTGAATAATTGAACTGATTTCTATATTAGAATATAAACTTCGTGAGTGGTGTTTACGCATATTACAGATATTTATTTAGGTTTATGTTTTTACTGGTGTGCATTTCAGGGAAGCAAAACTTTTTTCAAACGCCTGACACTGTCTCGGCAGGACGTTTTATTCTTAGGGTAAAGCTGTATATTTTTAATAAATATTGACTGATTTTAACCTACTCTCTTCTTTTTGTGGTGAGAGACACACCAGATAACGTTAGCAATCGTTATCATAGTCAAAAGGCAAGGCATGTAGTAGTTTGAACCAGGCTCAAGTATTGTTACATACATTTACTTTAAGCATCTCTCACATTGTTCTGACAACCCCTATGTTAGTGAGATGGCGGCGTGTCCACAGCGACAACCCCTGTGACGTCACATTACCTGTCGTGATGTTTGTCGAGGAGGTACTCCTTGAGCCGTCGCACCAGCGCCTCCGACAGTTGCGTCACTTCCGGCCATTGCTTCAGCACCATCACGCCGACCATCACTGCTAAGCTTGTAGTGATGACACGTACCCTGCAAATTATTTTAAGTTATGTAATTTGTACGACTTTAATTTCGAGAGACAAATTTTCACAGTAAATAAGGTAAGTAAAAATTGCTAGCTGAATGGAGAAGGCCCTTTAATTTTTTAACTAGATTGAGGTAAAAAATTTAGAGGTAAGATTTTTAAAAGAGCAGTTAGACAGATAGTGACAGTTCTAAGCTTCGTTAGGTTGATCATAATTGATATGTTACTCTATTTCAAGACGGGCCCTCGTATCGTGTACCGAAGCCTGGATTCCTTTGGAAACGGTTTGTTAAATTTGAACGAGCGATATATATCGTTGAAAATCAAACTTTGTTGAATCGTGTAGCCAAAAAATTTAACAATTTGAATAAAGTTTTAACTTTCGAATTTCATTTATTTTACAAAAAAATCAGTCGGAGTAATATTAGTTTAGATTATCTGTGGGCGTTACCTAGTCCTGAGGAAGGGCATGGCGACCCCCGCGACGGTGGCGACGAGCAGCAGCGCGAGCTGCAGCAGCGTGAGCGCGACGTTGAGCAGCTTGACGAGCAGCAGGCGCGGCGGCAGCGCGCCCGCGCCCCCCGACTCGCCCCCGCCGCCCCCCACGCCGCCGCCGCCGCCCGACCCCGCCATCCATTGCTCTAGCTTGCTTATCTGCAAACGACAGATTGTATTACTTTAGCGTCATTTCGACATACGATGGGCAATGTATACAGCATGAAATCATCAGGGCTTTTCTTTTGACCCGGATGATGTTCAATTTTTTTTTAATTTCGATTCTCCATGTTTCCGTTTCATTTGCAAAATATACCGTTTTCGGTAGTTATTTTGACCACTTGACCACAACGGAAAACCTCAGTTTGAGAGCAGGTGCTCTCAAACGGAGGTTTTCAGGCAGAGTAGGCAGGCAGTTAGGGAGGTCCTTAACTGCCTCAGGCAGCATCAGAATCCTAGGCATCGACATATCGAGCGAAGTCCAGTTTCGGGGTCACTTAGAGGGTAAGGTTAAATTGGCCTCGAAGAAGCTCAGTGTGCTGAACAGATCGAGGCAGTATTTCACTCCGGCCCACCGCCTTCAGCTCTATAAGGCTCCGCTCTCTAAGCTCTCTAAGCTAAAGCTAAAGCTTAGCTAAAGCTCTATAAGGTCCGGCCGCATATGGAATACTGTTCTCATCTCTATGCAGAGGCACCTCAGTACCAGCTTCTCCCTCTGGACCGCATCCAACGAAGAGCGACTTGAATCGTCGATAACCAAAAGATTTGCGACCGGCTCAATATGTTGGCGTTACGTAGAGCTGTACCTTCACTCTGCATTCTCCATCGCTTCATTCTATATCATGGAGAGTGCTCCGAGGAATTGTTTGGACTAATATCAGCCGCAAATTTCCGCCATCGTTCCAAACTTTTCATCCTTATTACCTGGATAGTTGGCGCTCCACTACTGTGCGCTTTTCGAGACAATTTTTGCCTCGCACAATCAACCTGTGGAACGGGTTATCATCTGCGGTATTTTCGGACCGATACGACCCCCAAACCTTCAAGAAAAGAGCGTACTCCTTCCTAAAACGGAACCAGACGTTCATGGGCGGCGATGGTCACTTTCCATGAGGTGACCCGTCTGCTCGTCTGCCCCCTCTAACATTAAAAAAAACTGTCTGCCACGAATGATAATCCTTAGACAAAAAACGAAAACGATGACTAACAAAACTAACTTGAAGTGTTCGATAATTTTGTAGACATAATTATTAAAGATCAATGTAAAATAATAATTCGTGTCTAAAAGCTTTTGTTATCATATTTTTCCCTTGCCATTGAATTATTATTGTTTCTGTCTATGTCTATGTCAATCGGATACACTTCAAAGTGGTGCTTATGTAATCAGTTAGGATGACTAACCTTTGTCTGGCAGAGATCGAGTGCTTCGTGTATATCTCGTATTCGTTCCTCACTCTGGTATTGGACCTTCTCCTCCACGTCTGTTAATGCCTGCTTCAAATTCTCCACCTGCAACCAAATAAACATTATAAGATTGATTCGACTGCACGGATGGCGTAGTGATTTAAGCGATCGCCACGCCGGTTACTACTACGCTGTATTGTGGATCCGATCCCCACATGGGACGACACTTTGTGTGATCCACAAATTGTTGTTCTGAGTCCCAGACTCACAACTTTGAACTCTTTGTGTCCGTTTCATGACTGTTTGTAAAGTTCCTTATTATAAAAGATTATTAATAAACACGCATCCATAAAATACCGTTTTTTTTTATTTGAATTCTAGACCTAAACTTTTCTGAAAAAGTAACGTACACAGTCCACAATTTTTTTTATCATCTATTTATTTTTATACTACTCTATTTTTTGCTCAAAGAGCCTGTATGCGTCTGAAAAGAGATAAGCTGGCTCAACTAATAATTACCATAGTATGTAAGTTATGGAATTTTGGTTTAGTCATTGCTTGACTAATGTTAACTAACAAATATTTGACTAACAAAACATGCTATGTTGACGAGTATCGTGCCATAATATACAGACCTCGTTCTGGTGCAGTTCTGTGAGATCATTGATTTGCTCTTCCAGCCGCTCAGTCTTGAACCGTTCCTCCTGTAGCGCAGCCGATAGGAACGACACTTCTTGTGACAAGTTCTACAAAATAACAAGAACATTATTAATGTTACATAATTGTAATTATGTTCTGGAAATTTTCACGGACAGCAAAATTACATAAAGTAAAAAAAAACGGAATTAGTGCAGATACAACATTTCAATATTAACGATGGATTTACAGCGAGACATAATCACACAACTGTGTTGCCCTCCTGTGTTAAAGTGATATCATATAAAATTCCTCTAAACTGCAAACAGCTACATATACCACTGCGCAGTGTATTTATGGATACTAATATAACACAGGGAAAAGTATGGTTCTTAAAATATATTACCTTTAACGAATCAATTTTTTCCGATAACCGCTCATAGTCTTCCCTGCGCTCGCGCAGTTCGTTCAGTATCGGTTTTATTGTGAACGTTGCCTCCGTGATGTTGTTTGAACCTGTTTGTGGAGGGTACCTGGACAACACAAACCTTTATTATTTTTATATCAGATTATTTTTGTGCATTCTTATAGCTAGTGTAGGAACACTAGCAGTCTTTGTGTACTTTTTAGGGGCAAAATCAATCAAAAATAGTTTTGATCGCAACATCATACTATTATAAAGTCATCTATCCCAAATGATTCACCAACACTACATGGTATCTAACTAAGAGACTGTAACATGTATATTACCAAAAAATATTATTCTACCACATTCACACAACGCCATCTAGTCCCAAACTAAGCAGAGCTTGTACTATGAGTACTAGACAACTCATATAAATACATTTAAACTTTTTTTTTTGTAAATAAATACATATTATACATAGAAACACCCAGACCAAATCAAGCATTAAATGTTCATGCACACAAACGTTTGACTTTAGCAGGAATCGAACTTGCCACCTTTGGCGTTGCAGTCCGTTACACAAATCACTTTGCCATTTGACGTTTAATAAAAAGACAGTAACTCAGAGGCCACTTACGGAGCTCCCTCGCTGGTGACGGAGGAGCTGGGCGAGGCCTCGGGGCTGTACTTGGGCGCGGGCGAGGTGGCGGCGCGCGGCAGCGTCGAGCCGCGCGGGGCGCCCGCCTCGCCGGCCTCCGACGCACGGGAGCCTTCCGACGACGCGTTCGCTGCCACGTTGTAACACTCAATACACACAACATACACACGCAGAGGTATATTTACCTCACACACAAAACATACCTATTTAACCTATTTATTATAATATTTAATACCTAGCAACATAGACTATTGAGAACTTCATATGTCTGAATTTTCTTTATAGCTTAAGGCTATTTACGCTTAAAAGTCACGCATGATTGAACAAATAATTGTGTGTTTATTATAGTCATCCAGTGAACGTCAGGTATAAGTATAATGTAATAACTGTTTTCCTTGTCTTAAGAAAATAAAATATAAATGAAACCAACCTGTAAGTGTTAAAAAGGGGTATTTAAGATATTTGTTTTATTAAATGAAGTTATATACATATGAGTAGTTACTTGTGTTGTGGTAACAGAAAAGGGAATTCTTAATACATAATTAAAAATAAAGTCAAGATAAGTTTTCAGAAAGGAGTATTTTATGTTGAAAAATTGAGAATGTTGAAAAATTCCAACAGCTAACGTTTTAGTAGAATATTATTTAACATATTAAAATAATAATTTAAAATATTTATAAGTAGATTGAAAAAAAAGTTGGTGCCAATATTGCGAGAAGCGTTACAGGATTGTGAATCAAGAATAGAAGAATATAAGTACATAAATAAGCTTCATATTACCGATCAATACCAGACAAACACATCTATCTGTACACAAGGGTAGCTAAATAAGTTGTTGGTGTGAAGCTAGCAACATATGAAGTGAAGTAATCATTACTTTTTTAGGCATATTAACATTTATATGTTCTTTCAAATGACCAAATTATAAAACAAAACCATTTACAAGCTAGTACATAATTGGAATTTATAAGTTATATTCAACACTCTCTTTCAAGAAAATAAAAAGATTCTCTCTAAAGCAATTTGTCTCAAGGCCTAGTCAGAATAGCTTTGAACAGATTAAACAGCAGAACTACTATATTTACAAAGTAATTATAGTACAATACAAAGGAAAACAATAAATTAAATTGGAGTGTCACGACTTCCACATAATAGTGAAACAAGAACATACTACAGTGCCATCTAACGAAGAGACACCTAACTACGGAGTGACAGCTAATCCTGTATCGCGATATGAACTATTCCTCTAGTTGTCTTCTTAAATAGTTACGTAATCATGTCGTAATTTCACATCATTCATGAGGCCTTCGACGCACATATCTGTCAGTACTCTTATTTTAAATAATTAAATAAATTCCTTTATATCTGTATCTATGGAACACATATAGAAATAATCACTCATTATATTATCAAGGCGATAGTGTAATATATAAATGTTTATTTACCTCTGAGCTCCGCGTGTGGTGGGGCTAGCGTGCAAAAGGACACAGCATGGTAAGCGACACAAAACTATTTTGATTGTACACAATGTTTACACCATAGGCCAAATGACAAGCTTTGTAATTTAGTTATATTATGTATGATATATATTTTATGTGTAAAATGATGTTGTTAATGTTATAACTAAAATAAATAGAATCTTATATTCTTTGGTTTTGTGCAAAACTTAAAACAAAATATGTCAAGACAATATTATAATTTATTTAAAGGGAGTTATAGTACACACCGCCTTAGTTTATGAAATTTTATTTGGTCATTTTTAATAAAATAAAAAAAAAACTTTAAAGTTTAATATTTTTTGATATATTTTTTATTTAAAAGTACATAGATATGAGATTTATCTATGTACCTCTATAGATGATGGAATACCTCTTTCCATTTTAATAAACAGCACATACATTATTCCTATGCTTCGAAATAAAAGATATATATAATATTCCAGAATTAAAACACACTCGACTGACCATTACCATCAATTTATTTTCCTTCCTCCTAAAGCGATTTCAAAACAGAACTTCAAAAAAGAAATTCAAGAGACACTTCAAGATACATTGTCACTATCGACAAAACAGATACTATTTTTATAAAAATTCTCAGAAATATCCTTCATATATAAACATAACTTACGAGCACTTTAAATGTTTAACAAACATTTCTTAGATAACACTTGTATTATGTAGGTATATAGAAACATAATAATTGTATAGTTACATTTCTTACGGCATTTTTTGCACTTATTGAACAACATCTCATCATGACGTCGAAGTGCCTACTGACTCGTGCACTCACTACATGTCCCTGATTACAGCAAACGTGATAACCATACTATTGTACTCACAGTTTAGCGACAGACTGAGGTCAGGGCGCCTAGTGCGGGTTTATTTCACACCAACTCGCCGTCAAGAGCGAATAAATGTGAAACAAACTCACAATAAGCCCTCAGTGCGGGCCAATCACTACGCCGAACGCCATCGAGAACGAGTTAATGTGAAATAAACTCGTACTAGGCCCCCGGCACCTGTATTTCATGTTCTGTGTTTAGTATAGTTTAGAACAATTCTCGTGTCGCCTCTGTCTACTTCGTGGGCCTCAATCACTTTGCATTGAAACTCTTAATTACTATTACAAGTAATAATTAGTGCTTATTTTCACATGCAAGTATTAATTACTGTTGAGACAATGGACTGATGTAATTTTTGTATTTTGTGTATACAATATAAATTTCATTAAAAATTAACCGCAATACGTTTTAGCTCTTACGAGGTTCAATATCGAGATGTTTTTTGACTCATCGAATAGTCTGACTTATTACTTCCATATTAAGAACCTCCATATTTGTCTACTAATTATTTCGTACATCTGACAAAACTATTAATAAATTTTTAAAGCACTAGTCACGAACTACTAATTATTATAACTAGCTGACCTGTATTGCGAGACACGGTTATTAGAGTCAAGCCGTTAGCTGGTACTAGATTTCTTTTAAATTTAAATTGTGAAATTCAGTAACAGTAATAATTAAAAAAGTAATTCTATTAATAACTCTATCTAAAAAATGAGTTGTTAATATATTGTTCTTATAATTGCAGTGTCAAAATTTAGAATGACGTGCAACGATGCTGAATTAAATTTTATGCACTAAGTATATTGTTTTCTATACATTCTGCACTAGTCTGGTGTAATGTGATGCACAGACAGTATGTGGTATAGTAATATGTGTTCATAAATTATTATAATTTTGGTTATCTGTCATACAGGTCTTTTAGTACAAACACCAGTCTCTCACATAGATAATCTGTAATTGTACTAATTACTACATAATATATTAGTTTAAAAACTACCTATGTATCAGTCTGTGAGAGAGAACAAAATATAAAGTTATTTTGTTCTCATTTGTGTAGCAATTTTACAATAAATTTCAGCAAACTTTCTTTACGATTATATAATGTGTATACCCAACAATAACAATTAGAAGAAACCAAAAAAGCAAGTCACAACCGATAGTATCAGTAGTATAGTGATAAAAATGTGTGTGTTTGTTTAGTGCCTCATCTTTATCTCGTCCGGCCGTGAAACCTAACAACCGTGACTGATACGTAGCTTAGGCACCGTTGCACATGACATGCTAACACATTGTGTACCAAATATAGTAAAATTTATATCAGTGAAAAGGAGTTTTTAAAGAGGCTGATCTGTTTACAGGTCAATAGATGATGTATAAATGATTTCTTTAATGTTATTGTTTTTAATTGTAAATGTATTCATTGTCCGTGTGGTGACAGATTACTAGGCTGAGGTCATTTAGTTTTTTTCTAATCCAATATTTTTTTCTGAAATTGACAATAGAAAGTATTCCTCGTATACCACTAACCTATAATGGATTTTCGAAACTAGTAAATCCTAAAAGATCCATTTCTCGTAAAAAAATGTTTAATTTATTAAAGCGGACATAAAAGTGCACAAAAATCCATCATGGATGTTTTCAATGGATTTTAGTGGACAGAGGCAATAATACGGAGTGTCATCACCCCTATTCATCACGTTGGTGTCGTAAGAGCTGACTAAGGACAACAGCACTGCAAAGAGAAACTTGAAACAAACCTTATACCAACCCGTCTGGCCAACGTGGTATAGTAGGCCAAAACGTCCTTTCTAAGGAGAGGTCTATGTCCAGCTGTGGACTACTAAGGATGTTGATGATGATGAACGTATTACCTACGATTTTTGTAGTTCATTATTATGACATAAAAGTCTGGAAAGCTATATAAATTTAGGATGTGATTATGTATACATAAAGTATACTATTTGACAAATAAATCGACACTATTTTCTTTGAAGTCGATTTTTTATATTTTTTGTTATATCTAAGGTAACAAACTTAAAATGAATAAGTTACATCGACAGCAGGGTCGCAAAAAAAAATTACGTACACAACACACATCGGTTGGTATTCCAATCAGTAGTTATTTTTAACAAAATTTAAATTCAAGATTTGTAACACAATGATAAATTAAGGATTAAATATACTTTCTAAAGGAGATATACTACCAATATATGTATGTGAAAGAACATGTCGTGCAACTACGGCATACAAGATTAAGTAAATAGGTATATTTGTGCAGGAATTATACAATTTAACGGGGACCGGGAGAGGTGCGGGCGGCAGGGACATTCTTCTTTACTTCGAGTGGCCGCCGCCCGAACTTAATAAGCGGTTTATCTATAGAATAACGGTGTCATATCGTGTTCAACTATGTACTACACATCAATTACAGATAATTAAGATTAGGAAATATATGTGCAGTGTGTATTATAATGTACGGTGAGCATAGGCACTTAGCAGTTATTATCCAAATTGTCCAGATAATCTGGATAGGGTAAGTAATAGTAGGTAATTAATGTGTGTTAACCAAACAGTTAACACAGAAAACGTAAAAAAATCAAGTGACTTTTTTTAGAATGAAGGTTAGATAAATTAGAAATTATTTACTTTAAAGATATAAGCGTGTACTAGAATGGTACCGAATGTGATGGCGGATACAGTGGCGATCGGCCTTGAGAGTTTAGAGATTTATCTAATCTAATCTACATATATATTTTTATTCATAAGAGGGACGAATAAAAACCAGAGTTATGGGTAACGCGATCAGAATCCCATATGTGGAACGAGTCGAGCATCTAGGCGGTAGGCAGGAAGAGACATCACAGCTAAATATATTTTTCAGCAGAAACTATTTTTTAAATTTCTTATGATAGACAGACAAGCCAGAGATCTATCGTCCTAATCCATTATAAGGTGTTGTTTCAATTAAGCTCTTCCTGGGATAGTTCTGTAACGTTGCAAGGCGTACCACCACCGTACCCAGCCATCGTTTTAGAAATTACAAAAGCACAGAGCGGCAATAGTCACATGTTGATAGATTAGGTCGGATAGGTACATTCTAATATATTGTAGTGTCTAACCACAATACGTTAGCATTTAACTGCAGGAGCTGAATGTGATTTAGCCTTTGAGCTAAGGTTGTCAGTTTGACAAAATAGTGAATTTACTTTTGGTCAAGGTTGGTCGTATTTAATTTTAAGTAAATATACCACCGCTAAGGGTGGAAAATTCAGGAATGAATAATATAACTTATTACAGATTATCTTGATTTGGAGGTGCACTGATGTGCTATATATGTACCTATATTTATGGAGAGCAATAAATGACCAAATTAATATATTTACATATTTACTTTAATATATTACAGATATTTAAAAATAACGATAGTAACTAAACACTATCGTTATTTTTAAATATCTGTATATTTTATAGTTCAGTGTTTATATATTCATAATTAGGCGTGAGTAATAGACATTATGATTTTATAGATTTTATTACCAAATGTACAAAAGCCACTCTGTGTTTAAAATTTCCTCGGCACCGTCAACGCTTACTCCAAAGAAAATATACTTTAAAAAGTTATGACAAGAATGGTAGATGATTTTATGTTAGTTACAGATGGTATTTACATTATTCTCTATTGTACATATAATAATACTCACAAGGACCCGAGTTTTCTGTGACAAAATACATAGTGTGTTATATAAAATTTATATTTATACCTTTATCATAATAAATATGGGGCATTCAAATCAATTCAAATGAAAATCACTCTGTTAAGGTGTTCCGGTTAAACGTGGACAATGTCGATAACAACGGTTTGAAGTATATATTTAAACAAGATAAAATTTGTATTTGTAAATTTGTTAAGACAGTATTTGTTTAAGATAAACCTTTCTCATATTAGATACTTAGAAAATACATAGATTATTGTGCATTACACTCTGACAGAGCGTGACGCATGTCACAGTAGGGCGCTCGACTCCATGTAGAAGGGCACTCTTTGGGTTTTGAAATTGGCAGGGCAGCCCCAAAGGTATTTCATGTGTATCTTTAGTAAGCCATTGATTAATATATAGAATTATTGATATAATTAAATATTACCTCAAGAACAAATCACTAACTACCCTTATTTAAAAAATATATACAGGAGTTCTAAAATATATGTTTGTTGGACACCAGAAAAGTATCTAGTGGTGAAGGAGTCAAGCTATTTCGTGATAGTAATATCTTTAAAGTATACAGATAAATTTATATTTCAGATTTTTTATATTTATATTTTTTGTTTTAAATTGTCCACGTTTAGCCGAGAACGGGTATACGCTTTCGTGATGACCTTTTTTTGTGATTCCTAAAAAAAATATTTTATTTAATGTTACGCATATGGATGATTAAAAAAACCCGAAATCAATGCAAACAACGATTGTCGAGATAATTATGCATGTTGCATGGACATACAAATAAAAATAAACTAATAAGCATAACGACAAATAAAGCTGTACCCAGTTCGTCAAGGATTTATGAAAGAAAAGAAATGAAAAGTAAAAATATAAGCGAATTTGATAATCGAAGAGTAATGCAAGAGTCGTGTATTATGACTCAATTGATTTGAGTTGATGTTTGTGTAGCATCTTATGTTTATAAAGAAATGCAATAACTGTGATATCAGACTATTTCAAATTAATTATGAGAAAGATTTTATTTTATCGAGAATAAAACAAATTTAAATAATAAACACTGTGGCAATTCTTTGAACAGTGTTTATTATTAAAATTTGTTTTTAATCTATATGTAAGTAGGTAAAGCTAAACCAGTTCATTACCGTTTTCTTTGGTCGTTAAATATTTTTTTTTAGTTTACATTGAATAATTTTAGTGATATGAATTAAAAATAAAATGTTTTTTTTGTTTATTTTCATAGATATTTAATGACTAGTTATTGGTATGTTCAGTTATTGCATTTTTTCAGAAACTTGTGAGTGTGGTGATGTGTGGTGGGTAGGTAGTGGTGGTGGTGCATACAGACCGGCGAGCTGCGCGATGTTGTCCGCGGAGCCGAAGCGGTTGGAGCGCGTGAAGAGGTGCGCGAACTCGCGCGGCGCCGCCATGACGCTGCCGCCCAGCCCCGTGATGCCGTCGCGGATGTTACCGCCCACGTTCCTGATAACCACATTGCACGTTAGGGTCGTTAGGTAAATTACACATCGCTTGCCTGTCATCATCATTTTGAACGTCTTCTTCTGCACTTCACATAGTAAACGTTAGGTATTGTAAATACGATATGCTTTCTTGTACCATTTTTATTTCAAAATATATAGAATTTTCGAATACTCTGAACACCAGGTCTACAGCAAGTTATTAATAAAAGAAGAAGACTCTTGCCTAATAAAGTTCTATGATTTTTATAAGTTATAGGCTTTTAAAGAGCAATAAACTCATAACATACTCGATAGCACTTAACTGTTCGTTTGCCCCTTTAGCATTAAAAATATATTTGACAAACAAGTGAGCTGTACCTAGACACTATTGAGGTCGTGGAGGTCACAAAGTGGAGCGGACGCTGCAGGAGGGTTGTGTTAAAGTCAAGAATCTTTATTTTTAGCATACGATGTTTTCTATTGTATTTTATAAACAGAAATTTGTTAACATACAATGTCTCATTCTTGTCTTTTTTCTAAATTTATTTGGGATTGGCGCAACGAGTCTTCTTCCTTTCTCAGCTAAACGTTGGTATCTTAATAAAAATATTTGAAACTCACTTGAGTCCCTGTCCCATGTCTCGTAGCACTTCACGCGGTTGTCTATGCGCCTGCCCGCTCGTGCCATGTTGCTGTATAATAAAATATATATATTTAAATCGACTTAGCAATTAAATATTTGTAATTCAACAACAAAAAATAAATATTGCTAATAATCTGTTATCTAATATAAATCTTTCATAATTAAGTTCAAATTAATAAAATTAGGCGATTTCTTCTAAATTTAAACAATTGTTTTTTGTTTTATAAATACACTACGCCTCTAACCACGTAGTTTGATAAGATATGGGTATAATTGAGTGTCAATATAAGACAAAGACCAGTGTCCTTTTCATGTGCTCTTTTCAGATATAGAACCTAAATTACTTTTCAACAAGAGCTGTATCCTCCGGGTTATATCAAGATTTTAAATTAAGGCAAAGATGTTATGGAATCGTGACTTTAAATTGTTTAGAAAAATGCAAGAAATAATAAATTGGAAATTTAAGAATACTGAAGAATAAAGAATTATTAAAAGTTTGTAGATTTACGTCCGTATAGAAGAGAAATGCTACAGGACATAAGTTATACTAGTCTTAGGGCTAGGTTAGTAATAATAGTGAAATGTCAGTGAAACAGAGCCCGACTACCATTTACCCTGCATACCTCCCAGTTCTTGATCCTCTTATTGTACCCTTCTAATTTCTTCTGTAGTTGCGCGATGCATAAAGCACTCTTTTGGTTTTTCTTCTCAAAGACTGCTTTGATGCGCTGCAGCTGTTGTTTATCAGCGTTAGCCGCTAACTTTAGGTATTCGTTAACGTTATCTGCAAGAATTGTAATATATAGACTACTACTGTACCCAGCCGTGCTTCGCCGTGGCACATCGTTATTTATTTTTATTAAAAAAATGACAACTCCCGCATTAACAATATATCCTGTGTCGTGGGTGACCTTACAAACATACAAAGACCAACCAGACTCAGAACAACAATTCGTGGATTACGCAAAATGTTGTCCCATGTGGGGATCGAACCCACAACACTCAGCGTAGTAGTAAGCGGCGTGGCGACCGCTTTAACCACTACGCCATCAGTCTGAAACTACGATGAGATGATAAATACTAGAGAGATAATAATACTAAGATGAGAAATAAGGAACCAAACTGATGTGTAGTTTGTATGTCTTGTCAAAATTTGAGCTTTTTGATTTGAGCTTAAGCGTATATAAACCAACTTAACATTTTACTATATAGATAGATAATAAACGAGAATGCCCATCTCTCATACATCGCCCAAATCATGATGAATCCTTGGCCTTGTTTCAGTTTCATTGACAATTACATAATCAAGAAATATGACCTCGAATCTATAGTAGGTTCAGTTGTTTGCAAAATGTTTTTGCATAATGCAGTAAAGTAGTTACCTAGTCTGTCGTTGAAAAAAAATCACTACAAGGCCAAAAATAGACTAGAAGGTCAAAAACACAAAAACAGAAAACCAGAAAATAAATTCACTTGCACATTCGTATTTTGGCAGCATCCCGATATTGACATAAAACTTTGTCACTGACGTTTGTTTAAAACTGACACGTTGTCTTTTTATCAATTTCATGGTAAAATGTATGAACTTGAAAGAAACTAATATATTTTCATTTAGCAACTGTAAATTAATATGTTTTTGTATTAAAATAAAATCACAATATTTTTCCACTTTTGATTTTAATGTGTGTGGCCCAAAAGAGGACAATATCCTTTGTAGATAGGTAAATAATTCTGAATTTCTAAATTTAAAAAGAACCCACTATTATTTAAATTAAGAATTATCAATTTTTTATGAGTTGAGTGAGTTGTGTACAATAAAAATTAGCTTTTGTTCCCCCGGTAAACACAGTCGGTGAAAAACAAGGAAAGAATTGCTTAATTTAGATTTTCTGTTAGGCCGTGGTATCACTCCGGTCGAGCCGGTCCATATTTGCAGTCTCTGCTCTTCCACGGTGTGTGTACGCGGTCAATTCAGTCACTAACCGTGACTGATACACCGCTACACAGAAATTATTCAACATTTTCAATCAGGAAAATAACATGCATTGGTCAATTTAATTTATTCAATTGAACCATTTTGAATAGGTAATGCTATTTTGAAGTTATAAAAAAAAAAACTAACCGTCCCGTATTGTTTGCTCCAGACGTATTAGTTCTTTGGTGCGCTCTATCTTGTTGTTGAGATGTACGATCGCTGCGGCTGCTTTAGATGACGTTACGTTCGTCCCGTCGCCTTCATCTGTTCAATAATAATAATAATCTACCACATTTACGCAACGCTCTTTAGTCCCAAACCAGGCAGAGCTTGTACTATGGGTACACATGTATATAATTTTTTTATATAAAACACCCAGACTAAATCAAATGTTAAATGTTCATGCACACAAATTTTTGACTGGGAATTGAACCCGTGACCTTTGCCGTAGCAGTCCGTTACACAAACAACTACGCCGTCAATATAATTTATTTCGTTTAGACAGTTATGTATCTACATTTAAATAAGCGTTAAGATTCAATAGATTAGTTTTTTTTTAAGCAACTAAAGGACAATGGCAGACTTGTATGGGATATTTGTACCGCCTTGCGTATCTCATGGTAGGGATTATTGTTGTATTTATTTGGCTGATAATATCATCGATAATTACAGTTTTAATTACATAATTTTAGAACTTTGCGATAGTTTTGCGTATAGGTTGTACCGAAGTTGATACCAATGACAACTGTCTGTCACAAATAAGTTGTTATTGCTGTCAAAAAGTTAATTTAAATATCTTTTAAAATCATATCATGCCCTGTCAAATCAGTTTAATTTTTTTTTAAATAATGTTAACGATTATGTAATCTAATCGATGTAAATAAAAGTTATTAGGACCTTTTCTTAAATAAGGTAATTTAAAAAAAAAACCTTTGTTACTTCGTCTAATCTGTTCAGTCAACATTATTAATAAAGAACACACTTTACACTGCTAAATACACTAATATATCGTTTATTGTGCAATTTATATTTTATGCATTGCAAGTTTAGAAAATGTCGGAATGCGTTTTGTTGACAACACTTAAACGTTTAGTTATTTCAGTTGTAACAATTATTTGAGAAGAATTTGTTTACTTTTAGCCAAGTTCTATAAATATGCTAATAACATGAAAATAGTTAAGATGACTCACTTTATAAACAGTACTAATTTCAAAATCATCCATCATATATTACTACAGGATCTGCCGTTTACCTTTGCACTTTGCAAAGACCCTGACGTTATATGAAGACATAAGAGAAGAAGAATATACAGACAAGTCCTTTTGGTGAAAATGGTTAGGTTATGAAGCTTGGCCGTGAGAATTCGATAAACAGGTCTAGGACGCATTTAAAACACAAGGCGGAGGCAAAGATTAAGAGAAAATATTACAAACTTGTTATTATAATTACTAATTTTATGTTATTAACATATACTTTAATGTATGTATGATGTATATGTTATAAGAGTGAGTATACAACACACACCATCTACAGAAGTTTTCTGGGAAAAAAAACGGGAGTATGGGCCACCGATTGCATCTATTTGTGGCATGACGTAGTAGATTTAAGATGCACAGTAAGAGGATATTAGGAGTCCCCCACCTAACCCTCTCTCTAATCTATTAGGTTTAATAGCAAGTTTCAGTTTATAGATTTCATACCTTTTATATACGGTAATACGTCAGATTGTCTTCTTAACATTTTAAATAATTTATATTAAAAACACAGTTCACTAATGTGACCGATAGCACTTTCAATAATAAACTCACATTATAAACAAACACGTACATACTGATATATTTTTATCCGGTTATCGGCAGGAAAAAAAAGTATGTATACATGACCTACAAATATTAATTAGATCGTGATAATATACTGTTTAACAGAAAAAGTTTAAAATGTTGTTGTAGTCATAACATTGATCCGATCAATTTTTTCGGAAGGAACAGGAAGGAGGTAAAGGAACAGACAGGTCATCTGAGGACCTAGTGTGAGTTTATTTCACATCGACTCGATCGTTATGGTGACCGCGTTGAGCGTTGCGATTGGCCCGCACGTCAACTCTTCGCCAATAGCAGTGTATTCATATGTTCTAAATATGAACAATATATTTACCTTGAATAGAATAGTCCCCTGGCCCATCTTGACCTGAAACCAGAAAAAAAATCTGTTGATGACGATCTCGTCAATAGTATAAATATTCTTTTATTTAAAAGAAAATAATAGAACCAGTGACAGTTCTGATCCTATACCAATTTACGCTGTCTAAGCTTTTTTACTTGACGTGGTAGATTTCCATATCTATGAAGAACAGAATTATTTAACCCCGGCATTCAAATTCAAGTTATGTCTCTGGCGTTGCGTAGGCTATCCTACAAGCACTATTATGACAGTAATAAATATACAAGGATTGAAAGTGTTGAAAAGGTAAACAGTAAAAAATCTTTGGTGCTTGCCTACTGGGGCATTTTAGTACCGTTAAAATGATACATAAATTATTAAAATTCCATTTATTTCAATAGATACATTTGATTTCTATTAACAGTTTGAATTCAATTGAATAGATGTGCATATTGTTTAATATACTTGTACGTATAAACTTACTTCTATACGCGGGTGAACCGTACTCGTCCGAGGACAACCCATACGACACGTTAGGACTGTACACTGTGCTTGAATAATCCCCTGCTGTTATTAAGCCTGGTAGGATTTTCTTCTGGGGCGAATCTTCCAGGCTAAAATAAAACAATATAATTAATTTTATGCTAAATGTTGATATAATTTACGTGTGAATGAATGTTTTTTCCAGTTCCTTTCTACTAACTTTGTTATTGTTTGGATTTTTTGTCATAATTAGCCGGTACACTGGAATTGTCCAGTGCAAAAATTACTAGGCAGCTAAAGCTGCTTGGCATATGGCCTCTGGGTCTAGTGTAGTTTACTCCCAACCAGCACAAATAGTTGTGTGATGAGCACGATCTCGAGCTATGACTTTTCTGCTATTCTGTTTTTTATTTTAATCAGTTGCATAATTGAGTTCTTTATTATTTCATTTAATCAATATAATATGCCTGCTGTGATATAAAAACGTAAAAACGGCGTTTAAGTGTCTTAACAAAAAATAATAGTAATACCTATTCCTTTATTTATTTATTTATTTACAACTTTATGCACTTGTGGTCTTCGGCGGACTTAATGCCCTGGGCATTCTCTACCAGCCAACCTTTGGGTGGCGTTATAGTTATATAGTGATATTAGTTGTGATATAAGTTTTAACTAACAAATACAGTTCCACACATACATACACAAATATACACATACAAGCCTAAATATACATATAAATCCACTTAAAACATTTACTTTATTTTCGTACACTGTAAATAGGGAGGTGTACTATTGATTAGGTAACTCCGCTAACTGAAGAAGGTAGTTATGTACATTCTTTTTAAATATGTAACGGTTTGTGGACATCCTGACTTCGAATGGGAGCGCATTCCAGAGCAGTACTGCGTGCACAAAGAACGAAGAGTTCACGAAGTCGGAATTATGGGAGGAACACAGGAGAAGCAAATTATTTGTAGAGCGGAGATTTCTATCGTGATTAGCGGACAGGAAACGCAGATAGGGATTAAGGTAAGTGGGTGAGAATGGGGAGTTGAGGAATGAAAAGAGAGGTCAGCGTTCGCTGACTACGGCGCAGGCCAGAGCATTGTAGTTGAGAACGTAAAGCAGACACGTGGTCATACTTTCAAAGATTTAATATACATCGAATGCAGTTATTAAGAAGACGGTCTATCTTGTTAAGGAGCTCTGTATTCAGCGAAGTAACACACATCACCATAGTCAATTATAGGGATAATTAGGGACTGCATGAGAGAGATTTTCGTTTTACTAGGCACGAAATTCTTTAGACGGTATAACGTTCGCAGGTTTCCGGTTACTTTTTGACACACATGAGTATCTTAAGTACGCCAATCAAGGGTTGAGTCGATGAGCAGGCCTAGGTCTTTGACTACCGGGCTCCAAGGCATAACTGAGCCTTTGAAGACGACATAATAAAAACTTTACTCATGAAGTGACTTTTTAATAAGTTACATTGTTATAAATATTGTCGTTGATGTAAAATGATCTACAAGCTAAAAAGATTATGTGGAACAAGTTATCGGCTGCGGCATTTCTGCCCCGATACGACCTTCAAACCTTCAAGAAAAGAGCGTACTCCTTCCTCAAAGGCTGGCAACGCGCTTGTGACGCCCGAGTTACAGGCGTTCGGCGGCGGTAGTCGCTTTGAATCAGGTGAGCCGTCTGCTCGTTTGCTCCCTATCCCATAAAAAAAAAATCGAGACGAATAAGCTATTTATTTGGCTATTATACTTGTCGATACAAGTTACGTGTAATAATACTTTCTTGAGCTAATACTTTTATATACGTAATAAATACGTTTAATGTTATCGATTGTGTCACAAGTACACTTCATTTAAGAACGTCGAAATATGACCATAAGACAAAAGGTATAGTTACTTTATAAAAAAAACTTAGAATATAAGTAAAAAGCTGAATCGGGCTCTACGATGAGTCAGAATAAAGCTTTCTATGATCAGTGAAAGCTTTATGCTCAATAAACTGCGTTATTCAAGAGATTTTATGACCATTATAGAAAACTAGCTATTGCCCGCTGCTCTGCCTGCGTAAATGTAAGTATCTCCATACGAAATTTCACGTAAATCGGTTCAGCTTATAACTCAACTTAATTTGAAGTTTTATTTAAGAAATACGAAATTCCAAATACTAAATAACATCATTATTTGTTAAATTAATTTAAATGTGCGTTACGTTTTTTTTAATCAATCCCCCCCCCCCCTCCCAATTGGTGATGCATATTAATTTAGTCTCAAACAAAGCAGATCCTGCACTATGATTAATTAGAACACGGACAAACATATGTCTTTGTAAATACATACTATACAAATGCAAAATTTTGACCATGTATAATATTCAAGCTATGTAAATAGACCCAGTCATATTTACACTTAACGTTAATCGGACCCGCGACCCAACTTCGGGTAGGTCACATTTAAAACATAATTATTAAAATTGGTGTACTCACTCTCTGGAACTATTGACTGTGGTATTAGCCGAGAGCGGACTGTTGCCCAGGTCCCTCGAGTGGGATTTGACATGGTGTGCTCGATCCCCGTGACGTGATGACGTTGATGATGACGGCTCCTGAAATTAATTATTTTTAAACCTATAGATCATACATGTCATTATCAAATCATAATTAATGTAACCTAAATGGAACAGCCTTGAATAGTTCTCTACTGGACATAGGTCTTCTTAGAAAGGAGGTTTTGCTCTACTATACCACGCTGGCTAGACGGGTTAGTATAGTTTGTTTCAAGTTTTCCTCCTCTTTGCACGGCAGCACTGGCTGTTGTCCAAAAAAAAAGTGTTTACGACACCCATGGGATGAATAGGGTTGGTGACAATCCGTATTTTCAATCCGTCACCATACGGGCTAGCGGCACGGCTGCGCTAGCAACGGCAGATGATACATCGAAATTATTTGTAGACATAATGAGCATAAAAGGACAGGGCATGTGGACGAGGCGCGACACTTGTGAAAAACTTGTATGATAAAATTGGGTAGCATATACCCTTTTTTTGTTTTTTTTTTTTTTTTTTTTCCGTGCGGAAATCTCCTCGGATACCACCTGTCGGTGGCATGTCGGACTCGAACCGACTAAAACCGCACGCCGTCTCGGGTACTAATAGCCGGGGAACCAGGTATACCCTAGAAAGGAAGTCCCTGGTACCCGGATATACCTCGGGTCATCTACAGACGAGTAGACGACCCCCCCCCCCCGTTCCCTGTGCTCCCTGGAAGCGAGCGCGCTTCGCAACTTGCTCGCCGCCACCCCGGCCTGCTTCTGCTAGGGTGACAGATGGCCTCACCTGTCACCCCCAGGCCTGCGATTATGGAGGACGGAGGTCGTTCTGCGACCTCCGGCGCCTGAGTCGCCTGCGGTACCTGGCCCGTTCCCGGGCCGGGAGTCCTAAACCTCTCCCGGTCCCACTCCGACGTCTCCTTCGCGAGCATAACTTGCTCGCAGAAGGAGACGGCAGAGTTCCACGCACTCTTACTCCGCACGATAGCCGCAATCAGGCTATCGAGCGAGAGAAAGCATATACTACCCTACTGCTCCCGGTCTTCACACCTTCAAAGAGAAACTACATGTTCTAAATGACTTTAAATTTCTAACTAATATCAGAAATGCTTATGTGACTTTGTGTGTTTGTTAGGTTCTTTTAACCGATCATCAAGAAACTGGAATTCATGTGTTCAGATAAATGGAAATAGGATAATATAATTACATATACAATTATCCGAAAGTTGGGATTGTTTGCAAAAGTTGAATCTATTATCGAAAATGAGCTTTAAAATGAAATACTTTAAACAATATACGTTAACGTATCTAAAAGTCGCCTCTATCATATTTTTCTTAACTAGAGAGTTTTCTCTAACAAATCGTTCATTGCTTAGTAATTCTATTGATTTAAATTGTTTATCAACGACCTCACATAATTGTCTATAAGAATTAAATGTTAATTGGTTCGCATTAGCAGGTACTATTTCGAATAACTTCTAACGTTGCTGCCATTACTTTAATCAGTGAAAATCTGCAGGTAGGTACTAAGAATCTATGCAATTATAAATTAACTGCTGATTGTTTATAACATCACATTAAATGAAGTACCCACATTCTAAGAATAAATACAGTATAATTTCTATTTCTCATTAAGTATTGTATTCTCAGTAAGATTTATAGTTATAATCTTGACAAAATGAGTATCACTGGTGATATAAACATGTCCCGGATTGTATTGTAGTGTATACGAGGGATGTAACTACAAATAATGCGGCTTAAGCTTTTTTTTGTTGACGGGGTGGAAAATCCCTTCGGATCTCCTGCTTCTCCTGGAGTCGAGTAGTAAGTAGTATATGTTGATTCTTCTAAAAACCACACCGACGACGGCCGGCTTCAGGTGTCCTACTTTGGTGACCCGGATCATGTTATTTTAGGTCCTCCCCGAATTGACACCATGCCTAATCAAGCCCTATCCCAGGGGAGAACACTTCCCCCCTTAATCGCGGAAGTAGTCAATGCAATCGGGCTGCTATTCTATCCCCACGCGGCTTAAGCCTAGCTTTGCAATTTTATTTTAATAACAGGAGAAAGCTGTGTCTTGATAATAGATATTGTAAAAGAGAAAAAACATAATAATGCTGATTTTCTACAAATTACATTAAAACTTCTAACCGTTATCATCTGACTACACTTTTCTTAACTAATATGAAGAAAACATCAAATCTAAGTCAAAATTTACATTACATTTTTACAATTATGCAGGGTCCCTTATTTTTAAGTTTTTTTCCGTCTTACAATAAGATAGTTATAATTCGTCCGGCAAGACATATTAATGCAATTGCATATAGCTGCTGTATTATTCGGGTAATGATGGATTAAGAACACGAAGTGTCACCACCCCTTTTCAACCCGTGGGTGTCGTAAAAGCCGACTAAGAGAGCAAACTACGCAGGATAACAGCACTGCAAGGAGATGTAAAACTTGAAACAAATCCTATAAAAACCCGTCTGGCCAGCGTGGTATAGTAGGCCTAAACCTTAGTGGCCTAGGCCGGGCCTAGGCCTAAAGTGATAATATCTTCTGCATTCTTGATAATTATTAAAATAATGTAAAATAAAGGAAACATTATAACCAAACTAGCAAATCCCTGATTGTTACAACAATACGTTGTGTATTCAAAGTCACGGACCAAAGCTTCAAACTAATTTACAAGCCATTAGAATTAGATTAAAACATGTAGGTATATGAAGGAGATTGACATGCTGACAGATGAGTAGACGTGTTTAACATCGAACGGCAGATTGGCAGGCCATAGAACAACGCCTCGAACCTAGTTATCGATTTACTTTTAAAAGCATAACTAATATATAATAGACCTAATGGTGACACAATATCTAGGTTACGATACGTGTCTTACTGTTAGCGAGTGAGCGATAAGCGGATAAATTCGAAGAGCGTAAAATTTCAATTTTATAAAAAAACGTTTTCGTCCTCAGATTCAAGTATTTTTTTCTTAACCATTCGTTACTAATAATGACCATTAATACAAATACACAGCGATGTATCCTCTGTACATATTTTTACCGTGTGTAAGCAGCTATTAAGGCGAGGTTGCAGCGATTTTGCACTTCTTTGAAGAGAAATAAATACCCTAATATGCATTTATTGTACATAAAAATAAATATTTTTTAAAAATTAAACATATAATCTAGAGATCTGTAAAGATGGAAACATGATTTATGGAATTTGGCTCGATAAAAAAAAATCACAAACATAGCACTAACTCACGATTTCAAATAGAAATTGTTGTAAAATGCCACCATGGATTCACGTAAAAATTATACCAAAAAATAGAGCTTATTTTTTTTTAGGGATTTGTAAGGATACATTTTCACATAGTTGTACTTATAAAAAAAGGAACCAAAAAATATGTTTTTGCTCTTGCTTACGGCGACGAAGTTCGCCTGTCAGAGCTCGCTGAGCCTTGTTTGAGGTCGGACGCACGTCATTTTGCTCCGTGAAATTCCCCCACGCAAATACGTAAAATTCGTTTTCACAGAGCTTCAACAGAATACTTATAAGTTAATTTTAATAAAATTATTCCTTCTATTTTATTAGTAAATTATCTCCGTCTACAATGTTCATAAAACACAAAAATGGTAAAATTGTACAAACACATAAGTTTCACTGAGCCACAGTCTAAAAAAATCAGTATGCATGTGAGTACGGTAAATAAACAGTATTCATTGGTAGTATAGAAAGAAGGTAATCAGAAAATGTTATTAGAAATCTCTAATTTTGGTATAGTCAGGCACATTTAAATTATGTGGAATTCAACAGTAATATAAGTTTATTTACTGTTATTTTGCAGCACTTCGATGAGACAAAGCATATTCACAGGCGTGGTTGAGACCCTACAGAAATCAATTTCTATTGAGCATAGTACTACGTTAGTTTTTGTATTTATATAAATGGAATATCTGTTTTTTTTTAGTTTTGTCGTGTAAAACTAGACAATGACACTATTCTCAATGAACAAGAAAACTTTCTTAGGCGCTGCTGCTATTATTGGCAGAAAAACAGGTGTGGTCTTGTACATGGGTGTAAAAAATAAATACTGTTTGGTTTGTACCCGGGCTATTAAAAATAACATAACGCCTCCAGACCATAAATGCTTCAAAAACTTTGATGGTCATCTACCTCTATGGAAGCAGATATAATTGCGGAGGGTTTTAAAACATCTGTTGCTATGTACGGAGTAATATATCAAAATCTTATAGCAGATGGTGAATCTTCCACACATGTTAAAATTTTAAAGGTGAAACCCTATAAAACACAGAATTTGACTGTTGAAAAAATAGAATTTCCATACCATATTTTACGAAATTTTTGTAAAAAGAAGCGGAACCTTGCCAAAGAGACAATTTTTTTCTAGTTGTATAGAAAAACTTTAACGAACCAATAAATAATGGCTATGAGAAAATTAATTATTCGGTCGAAAAAATATCGCCACCAGTCTGATGTTCCGAAAAACGATGCCGTCTCGGTACTTCTTAAAGATATAACATATTCAGTTGAATACGCTTACGGAGATCATAGAATGTGCCATGATCACAACTGTGAGCATGATGGAGTAAAAGGTGACATTAGGCAAAAAACGGAATAGTACATTTTTATTTATACTGAATGCCACTGTTGCAACTGTGGCTGGGAAATCAAGAAGTTAAATTGAAAATGTTGAAACCAACACGGTCAAGAGATTTAATAATGTTATAGCTAAATTTGTCGGTGGGAAAAGAATTAATTTTGCTCTCAGATGCGGGTACCAAGGAAGATGTGCAGTAGCAGTCGTATCTTTTATCAGGAATGCCGCCATTTCAGCTGAGCAAAAAAAAAATGTTAAATAGAAGTCCTTCAAGAAGAGTTTTAAAGTACATCGAAAAAAAGGGCCCATAAACGTAAATTGGATTTGGAACATCCAGTAAAAAAGATACGTAGATTTCAAAACGCTAATAACGACCTATAGCACGACTATGGTCAAGCTAGGTCGGGCACCAGATTATCACCGCCTCATGC